TTATCAACAAATATTTTATCCCTAAGTTACAAGATTGCTATCATATCATTATTATTGTTTCATTTAAGGGTTCATTTGTTGTCTGCGATTATTAGACAGCCGAAACGAAAAACTACTATCCCTTGTTTCGCGTGAAACAAAGATTTTTCGGGAGCAAAATACGTCTGGGAGTATCGAATAACGAAGGAGTAGTGCTAGAAATGACATTTTCATCACGCTGTAACGAAAAGTGAACTTTTCAGCACGCTCCGCGTGCCTAAAAGTCCAATTTCCGCCACATTGTGATGAAAAATATTGTTCGTAACTCGTGAAAAAATGTTTTTTAGCTCGCGGGATTATATAAACCTCCCACTCGCCAAAAAACACTTTTTTGCACTCGTTACGAAATATACTATTCTTGCGTGTACAGAGAATGAAATTTCTTTTGAACTACTAAATCTATTTTCGCGACAAAAATTTTTCATTCCGGCGCACTCTCTGCATGTTTGGCGCAAAGAAATCCTTTTCTGATAATTTAAAAAAAACGATTTTCTTGGGACAAGTAAAACTTGTTTGAGAACTTTGTCGTTTTTCTCTCAGTGTAGGAATGGGAAGAGGTGCATCTCGCTGGGATCGCAGGATGGTTTTGTAATAAATCCGTATTAAATGATTACGAAATCTCCAGCACGACTTCGGTGTTGTGGGTTACTCAGGTTTATATCTAGGAAAGTAAAGAGCAGAGGTCTATCCTGGCTAGAAATTGCATTGAATTTTCATTGGAAATGCGAGGTGACGTTGTTAGAAATTTTTTGAAATTCAAGTAACAGATGCATTTGAGTTTTTAATATTCGGAACTTGAATTCAATTTCATACTAAATTGCTCATGGGATTGCTGATTTATCTTGGGAATTCAACAAAATTAAGTTTCTCATTACGAATAATCACTGAATTTTCAATGACAATTAGGATTTTCACACCTATCGCAAAAATTAAGTATTACGTGCAATTGAATGTTCAAGAGATTAAAAATTCTGAAGAAAAATTGCCTGAATTTTCACGATTTTCAGTAATTTTCATTGTCGTGTGAACCTGAGAAATCAAATTTCACTGAATATTCAAGAAAATTGACTAATTTATCAATAACAAGATCAATGGAAATTTCATGTAAATTATTCGTTGTTGAAAATATCAAGATTTTTCACTTGAAATTTCAAGAGTAATTTTCTAACATTATGACGTCACGGATGAAAAATCGTCATCTGCCATATCATGAAATTTTCTTGCATCTCTAATTTTCATGTACACAGTTGGAAATTTTTTGAAATATAAGTAACAGATACATCTGAATTTTTAATATTCGGAACTTGAATTCAATTTCATACTAAATTGCTCATGGGATTGCTGATCCATCTTGGGAATTCAATAAAATTAAGTTTCTCATTATGAATAATCACTGAATTTTCAATGACAATTAGGATTTTCACACCTATCGCGAAAATTAAGTATTACGTGCAATTGAATGTTCAAGAGATTAAAAATTCAGAAGAAAAGTTGCCTGAATTTTCACGATTTTCAGTAATTTTCATTGTCGTGTGAACCTGAGAAATCAAATTCCATTGAATATTCATGAAAATTGACTGATTTATCAATAACAAAATCAATGGAAATTTCATGTAAATTATTCGTTATTAAAAATATCAAGATTTTTCCCTTGAAATTTCAAGCGTAATTTTCTAGCAGTGTAGGTTGTTTTGAGAAATCACTTTATCCCTGGCATCCACAAGGGAATGTCAATTTTTAGGTTCATGACAATGAAAACTATTCGAAATTCAAGTGAATGTCAACGGAAAACCCGAATTTTGGTGAATTTCTTTGTGTGACTTCAACCAGTAAAAATCTACTGTCACCAGCAAAAGACAGAATGATAATTGACCGAATAATTTCATCATTCACGCTGTGAAATTCTCCTCGTTGATATGAAACAAATTACAAAAATATTTCGTCGACTCAAACAACTTTTACTTGTTGAAATTTTCGATCGCAAGGTCTTCCTCCTCGGTTTCCCTCGGAAAAAAATTGATTTCCTGTTGCAGACGTGATCACAACGCCAAGCAAATTCTTCACTCCCACGCCTAATGAATTGACAGATGCACAAGAATTCCCAGAATTCCCGTATTCCACCGAGAACTAATGAAACCGGTGAAAAGCTAGACTTTTACGTTCCCCTGCACGCGTGGGTGGACAGATATAACACGTCCAACGCGAAACGCTCCCCAGCGTTTCTCCATGCACGCGAAGCTGTTAATGTCACTGACTCCAAATTGTATTACAGCCCTGAGAATTGTAGAGTAATTCCGAGGGCTTTTAGACCATTGATTATTCACCATTAATTTGGGGAAATATGCGTTCTGCAGCAACACATCGAATGGAATATTCAGCGTAACTTGGTACTGAATATTCATGTTTCGATTGAAAATTCAAGTAAATCGGGAAATTCCACAGCGAAGCGGTGAAAGGCCACAGCTGTTTTTGCGAATATCTCGGAATCTAAAGGAGATAACGAAATTTTCGTAATGTCCTTTTTTGTAGAGCAAATTGAGGACTACAAAAAATATTTCAACAAAAATTTTGCCATCTCCCTTAGATTCCGAGATATTCGTTGAAAACTGGTCAACGGTAAAATCGATTAAGACCGTTTTACCGCTTCGCGACGGAATTCTCGTCTTCCTGTTCTTAAAAAATGTTGAAATTCATTGAACATTCAGTGAACTCTGCAATTTAATGATTTCTCTCCCCCCGAATAAAAATCAATGTCACTCTCCTGAGAATTCCTAGTCAACTGTTCATTAAATTTTATTTTTCTTCCAACAGTTCACGAACATTTCGTTCTCTTCCTCAATTCGATGCATAAAAAATATCATCGGTGGAGCATAAAAATGGAGTATCGCATATTACCCCGAGCACACACGCTCTAGATAAAGAATCGTTTGTCCTCCGGAATGAAAAAAAAGCGGATACCAAAGTGGCGAGTACACATATTGCTCTCGTGAGTCAGTTTTACGCAAGCCTGACGTTCAAGTATGCGTTCACTTTCCCCATCGGGCAGATAGGGCTCAACAAACAACAAATAATCCAGAATAACTAGGCTCTATTTGCCCGGTGTGATTTCCTTTTCTCACTGAATTGTTTATTTTTTAATTGAGAATTTTGAAGGGATCCGCATGTACGCATGTGCTACCATGTCTCGTCCCTGACCCCAATGGCAAAAAGTGAATGAATGGCGAACGGATCTCCGACATAACGACTCTCCCAGGTGAAAACAATCTTATGTGATCGGTCGCTTCGACGACTTTGAGTCGAAATTAACAATTTTTTGGTGGGGAAGGTGTACATTAAAGCAGGGATCCCCATCAGTATTAAATTTCTGTAATATCACGAGGATTTGACTCTTATATTATTGAAGGTTTAAAATATGTTGATTCAATTTTTCAAATAATAGGGGGGGTGGGGTAAAATGCACACTTTTTGCGTTTTAAAAATATTCCCAAGCCAGAAACTGATTTATCAATTGAGCTCAGTCTAAACTCGTCGCAAAGAGGAAGAATTGTCCTTTCAATTGAAAAATTAAATTATTTTATTTCGTGAACAATTCAACACGTCATGAACATTTTTAAAAAAGTCAAAAATGCCCATTCTACCGCACCCTCCCCCATAATACTAATAGTCTGATTTTATACGAATAATAATATATTTAAAATTTGTTAATATGAAACTGTAAATAAACTTGTTGTAACTGTAATTAACTTGTAAATCAAACTGTTATCAATTTGAACATAAATTTCATGAGTGCCCGTGCATAAGAAAAAATTTGTTTATTCATTTCTGCCGACTATTGCGATTAATTTTTTCAACCCTAGAAAAGTTAGTTTTACATGTTCTGCTGTCAGCCGAAAAAATTTAATAGAAAAACCTATCGAATTCGTTAGAAAATTCTATTGAATTTCTATTGAACTGTTAAACTAGTTTTTGGCCGATTCTATTGAAACGTTCAATAGAAAATATTCAGTAGAAAAAGTCAATAAAATTCAATTTTTCTACACAACTTATTCTATTCAGATATTTTCTACAGAATTTCCTCGGCTCAAATTTCCCAAGTTTTTCGGTTGATTTTCTTGATGAGAAGAAAAGAAAAATAGAATTTAAAAAACGTAGAAAATTTGAGTCGAGAAAATTCCATAGAAAATACATGAAAAGAATAAGTTATATATATAAAAATCGAATTCAGAATCAGCCAAAAACCAATAGAAAGTTTGATAGAAATTCAATAGAACTTTCTACCGAATTCGACAGGTTTTTCTATTAAATGTTTTCGTGCGTGCATGAAAAAACCCCATTCAGGGGAGGGTAGGGTAAAACGGACACTTGACTTTTTCAAAAAATATTCATAACTCAGAACCAGATTTATCAATCGAACTCTGTCCAAGCTCATCACAAAGGAATCATTGTTTTTCACTTGAAGAATAAAATAATTCCATTTCATGAACAATTCAACACGTCACAAATATTTCAAAAAAAGTCAAAAGTGTCGGTTTTACCGTACCCTCCCCTGTCCCTCCCGAATAGAAGCCCATTCCTCCCAAAAGGCCCACGTGGGAGCCGCCCTCCCGTCCCTCCCCCAGCAGAAGTACTTGATTCACCGAGGGAAAGGAGACGACACGCGCACGAGAGACGTTACAAACTCGAACACCGGGAAAATCGATAGTAGTCAGCACACTGAGGGCTTCAGCCCCAACCCACTCTCAATCCAAGACCCCCAAAAGTCCCCAATCACCACCTGATTGCTTCCCAGAACCGTCTGACAGCCGTGTTTACCCCCATCCCAATAATTTCCCCGAACAGCTCGAAAATCCGCCGCTAAACAGCCCCGTTAAACCCCAAAACCGGTTTCCGCCTGTGAAAGGAGGCCCGAGCCCCCCGAAATAGCCCCAATAAAATCGCCACAGCGAATTAAAACCACTCACAGTCCAAGTGTTTCTTCTTGGGTCCGATCATCTCCTCGGTGGTGGCCTTGCATACCGATTTCGCCAATCCCTGACCGGCGATACTGTGTCGGGCGGCCAAAAGCCTGTCGTTGATGGTCTGTCCAGCCATGCCGATCACCACTCGCCAAAAATAACGATCAAAGAACCCCCGAAATACCGATCAATGCCCAATTGCACGCGAAAACCGGCCCTTTAACCGCTGTATCCGGGGCTCCACCCTTCACTCACTCATCACCAGAGCAGCAAAATCCCCTGAATTTACCTCAATCACTGCACAATTACACTTGATGTTCAAAAAAATAAAGAGTCACGTCGACAGTGACGTTCGACTTAACTTGAATTAAACCTCTCCTTTCTCCTCTCTCCCGTGTGTCGCGAACCCTTTAACTCTCCTCCCGCCCGCAGCCCCTGTCGGTTTTTAAATTCGGTTAAAGGACGCGTCGATTATTCCTCGGGATTTTAATTGCCGAGTTCCTCGGCCACTGGGTTATTCTTATTTTTAACGATCGGCTTGTGGGTGAGCCGTGAGCTTGGTGCTCGCTCGCGCACCGCTTTAACAGCTCAGCTGGACGGACGACAGCTCGACGTACGGCGGCAACGGAAGGCTCCCACGACTTCACTGGTGGAAAATGGCCGTCACCCGGCTACCCATCCCCTCTTCCCTTCGCCGGAGGGTTTTGGTTATTCCCTGTCTCACTCTAGTCGCGCGGCTGACCTCACTGCTCTCCCCCCACTACTTTTCGCTGAGACAGCGAATCGGCGGGTGACGTCAGACTACGAGAGTCATGTTGAGAACTTAAGATTCTTCTTGTTTTTTATTATTGCGGATTTTCGAGAGCTCTAGAGTTTTTTAGTTATTGGCTTTTATCATTGTGAGGAGAGAGGAATAATGCGGGGTGAAAATTTTTTTTGGAGATTTTTTGGCGATTCTCGGTTCGACACCGAAACTATTTGAAATCGATCGTTTGCCGGTTTTTTTCAATGGCGAGATGTGTCTATTGGAGTTATTTACACGGAGAGAAATATTCAATAAAAATTACGTATGTTTTCCGTTATTCCGGAGCGAAATGTGGTTGTGGGAAATTTTATGAAACTGTCACGGAATTTTTCCAGAGCGTTCGGTAGTTTTTATCTGAATCTTCTGCGAAAAATTACCGAACCGTCACTTAAATTTTCTGAGTCGATTCCGTAATCGGTGAGCGAGTTGTGAGTTCCGTAATTTTTACTGAATATTTCTCTCCCTGTATCTGGAGAAGATTCGGGGGCTTTCGAAAACTTTAGAAAAAATCAGTAGTGAAGCGGTAAACCGAGTTAAGTCGATTTTGACTATTAGCTAGTTTTTGCTGAATATCTCGGAATCTAAGAGAGATAGGAACATTTTTATCATGACTTTTTTTTATAACGCTCTATTGGCTCTACAAAAAAGGTCATGACAAAAATCTTTCTATCTCTTTTAGATTCCGAGATATTCGTCAAAAACTAGCCAATAGTAAAAATCGACTTAACCCGGTTTACCGCTTCGCTACTGAAATTATATGATGTTATCTATATTTTTGGGGTTTTTCGTTTTTGTTATTATTTCAGTAGTGAAGTGGTCAATTGGTTTAAGTCGACTTAGCTCGCAGTTAAGTTTTTGGTGAATAACTCGGAATTTAAGAAAGAAAGCGAAATTTTTGTAGAATATTTTTCGATAGTCTTCACTTTTCTTTACAAAAAAGATTTTTAGGAAAATTTTGCCAACTCCTTTAGAATTTGAGATATTCATCGAGAACTGGCGCTAGAATGGAATTGACTTGAGCCGTTTGACCACTTCACTGCGGATTTATAAGTGTTACTACTGTATAGAAATATTTATTTGAAGTTTTGTTCCAAGTTTTTGATTAGTTTCGGTTCGATAAATGAAATTAATCAGTTTGCGGATTTTTTGAATGAAAATCCGATCTATTCGCTGATGGATTTATTCATCTGATTCGGTAATTAATCAAAGGAAATACCAAGAATTACGAAATTCACAATTTGCATCAAAATAATATGATCTAATTCAGATAAATATTCTTGTGAATAAAAATATTTACTAAATTTAAGAACTCCAATCGACAATTCCCCTACATTTAGTTTTCAATGACAGATATATTGTTATATTTATAAAGTGATAACTCGAGATAAATCGTAGAGGCGTATTTATTGATAGTTCTTCAGAATCGAAGATAAAAAAAGAGTAAATCCGTCCTGAAGTTATCTCTCAACATTAGAATAACAATCATCAACCTTTTTTTACAAAAGAGGGGAAGATGATAAATTAAACTATTCGATTCCGTAACAATATTGATTCATGAATTTCTTATTTTTCCCGCTAATTAAAAAAGGAATCTTGCAATGAGATTTTTTGAAAAACTCTTTTTTGGAGCAAGACGGTGATTTCCGGTGGTTCAAATAACGGAAACACATTGGGCCGCGGCAGGTTGGGTTGTTACCACAGCGGTGTGAAGTAGAATGTCTCGATTGTGCAGACAGAACTTGATATTTTTTTAAAGAGTGATTGAGGGTTGATACCTGTCGGAGGGAGGGGCACTACCAGCGAGATGAGCAGCCGCATCAGGTCTCTGCTTCAGAAGAAGGTAAATTTGAGGAGCTGATGGGGTTTTCGGTGGGGTAACCTCAGTTTTCCAACAATTGCTCAACGGTAGAGGTGAAGTGATTGTTTGGATAAACGGTGTTTATTTTTTGAATTGCATTATTCACACGAACGTTTTTGATTTTAAAAAAATATAGGGGAGGTTGGGGTAAAATGGACACTTTTGACTTTTTTAAAAATATTAGTGACGGGTTGAAATGTTAATGAAATTTAATCTTTTTTTTTTCAGTATAAAGAACAATTCTTTCCCTTTCTGATGAGCCTAAACTGAGCTCTATTGATACATTTGTTTCTGAGTTATGAATAATTTTAAAAAAGTCTAGTGTCCAGTTTACCCTACCCTCCCCTAAATATATATTTTAGAAAAAAATCTTCAATTATAGAAGAGCAGTGAAAGTATTTAATTTTCCTTTTAATTATGTGAATAAATATTGAATTCAATTGTCTTCTTAATTTTTTAAATTAAAATGCAATCCACTTTTTTCAGTGAAAGTCTTTAATTTTCCTTTTAATAACGTGAATAAATCATTGAATTCAATTGTCTTGTTAATTTTTCATATTAAAATGCAATACATTTTTTTCGACACAATGAACTCATGAATTCGTTCCAAATTTCCAAAAGTACTTGAAAAATGTCAAAAGTAACCATTTGACGCTCCTCCACTCTCTATTCAATTAAGGGGAGACTACTCTGAGTTTTAAAAGTCGTGAGTTATTGGAGTGAGACTTTTCATACGTTGAAGATCGATTATATAGATCTGAAAACGAATAATTAGTGCAAAAAAAATTTTTTTTAATGTTCGTTTGCCCGAAAACGCTTAAAATGCTAAAAACAGTCCAGGGCCTCCAATTTTTGAGCTACAAAATATTTTTTTTTTTTAAATGTCAAAAAAATGTGTGGAACAACCATTACGAGCCAGTTTTTTGGAATTCGACTCCTACACAGCTGATTTCGGTTTTTTTCATATGAAAAAAATTCACTATTTGTGTAAAAAAAATATAAAAAAGCAAATTTAGTCATGTAAGAGGCGAATTAAAAAAAAAGTGTCTCGTAATTGTTATTGCACATTTTTTTCCGAGAATTTTGAAAAAAAAATCCTTCGTAGCTCAAAAATTGGAGGCCCCGGACTGTTTTGGGAATTTTAAACGTTTTCGGGCAAACGAACAATAAAAAAAATTCATTTTACACAAATTATTCGTTTTCAGATCTACATAATCTACCTTCAACGTATGAAAAGTCTCATTCCAATAACCCGCGATTTTTAAAATTCATAGTAGTCTCCCCTTAAAAAAAATCTAACTGAATCAGCAATCGCCCGATCCCCCAAACCCGAAGAGAAGTAAAGAATTGAAGCATCATTCCCTCCGCCTTTTCAGATCCTCCAAAGCACTGGACTCCCAGACCTCCCAATCTCCCAGCATTTGTCCCTAAAACTCGACAAAACCACAAATGCATTTGCCTACGAATTCCCCTTGAGAACCCCCAGTTACGACATTCGAGGTCACTCTGACCTGCTCACCTCTCTCCAAATAGAGGACGACCTCTTCAAGACCGTGAGCCTAACGAAACGAAAAAACCACGAGTTCCTCTCGATCTCGATGAACCGCGAGAGCTTCGTAAAACAGACCCTAGAGTGTAACCGGCGCCAGGTCGTTCCCCCAGGGGTCGCCGAGGCGAATAAAAAAATCCTCGTGGAGTTCTCCTCCCCGAACATCGCCAAGCCCTTCCACGTGGGGCACCTCCGCTCCACAATAATCGGAAACTACGTTTCGAACCTGAATAAATACCTCAACAATAGAGTCCTGAAGCTGAATTACCTGGGGGACTGGGGAACGCAATTGGGATTTATCCTCCTGGGGATGGATCTGCTGGACATTCCAGCGGAGAAAATGAGGGACGATCCGATGCGACAGCTGTACGAGGCGTATGTCCACGCGAATAAATTATCGGAGAGTGATCCAGGGGTTCTGGACAAGGCCAGGGACATCTTCCAGAGGCTGGAGAAGGGGGATGCGGCGGGCCTGAGCCGCTGGGAGATGCTGAAAAATTTAACTGTCAAGGAGTTGCAGAAGACTTACGAGAGGCTGGGGGTGCAGTTTGACGAGTACCACTGGGAGTCCTCCTACAATTTCTCGAAGATCACTGGAGTGATAGATCACATGGGGCAATTGGAGCTGCTGAGGGTCGATGAGCAGGGCAGAAAGGTCGTCGAAATTAATGAGAAGAGAAATTTACCGATAATTAAGAGTGATGGGTCGACGTTGTACATCACTAGGGACATCGCAGCGGCGATTGATCGTGCGGGGAGAGGCGAGTTCGACGCGATGTACTACGTCGTGGAGTCCGGGCAGCATGATCACTTGAATAATTTATTCACAATTTTGGGGAGGATGGGCTACTCGTGGGCGAGTAAACTCCAGCATTTGAAGTTTGGGAGGATCTCGGGGATGAGCACGAGGAGGGGAACCGCGGTGTTCCTTGAGGACTTTCTGGACGAGGCGAGGGACGCTATGAGGGAGCAGCAGAGACAGACTGCGAGTGAGTTGAAGGAGTTGAAAAATTGTTTTCTTAAACTAAGGATGTTTATCCAAAATCGCAAGTCCTTGACAAATTGATTTTTTTTTGACTGAGAGGTGAGAATGTTCCCTTCATTTTGATAGAGATTTCAATCCACCAGCCCATGTTCGTTATTTAGAAATTAAATAGACAAAATGTAGCAAATGCGTGAGCTAACATGCGCTGAGGAAAAACGATAAAGTTCTCAAACAAGTCTCACTTGTGCCAAGAAAATAGTTTATTCATTCCTGTCGAGGCTAGTGCGATCAATTTTTTTTAACTTTAGAAAAGTTAGGGTTATATGCTCTGCTGTCAGCTGAAAAAAATTCAGAATTTTCCTTGATCATGAAAAAAAAATATTTACCAACACTGGCTAAACATCCTTAATGCTTTGGAAACCCTATGCCTGGCTCATTGACTGCATCTGAATTCATTTAATTTTGTAGCGACGAAGGTGGATTTGGACTCTGAGGAAGGGAGCTCGGATGTCCTGGGGATTTCTGCTGTTGTTGTTCATGATTTGAAGCAGAGAAGAACCAAGGATTATAAATTCAGCTGGGACGTAGCACTAGATGTTAGCATTTGTCAATATTGGAAGCGTTTTTCAATTTTTTCAAAATCCGATTCACTATTTTTCATCTTTAGAAAACATTTTTATCCATCAACTTCTCCATGAAGTTTTGAAATTTCACTGAAACTAGGGGAGAGTGGGGCAAAATGAAACAGTCAAAAAATTGACTGTTTGACACAATTCAAACAAAAAAATTTTTTTTGTTAAATTTTTTTCATCAATTTTTTATTATTGGGAGTACTGATGAGAATTATAATTTTCCAGTATAAGTCCTCTGAATAGATTAGGCCGATTACACTTTTCTTCTTTCATTCAATTGAAATTCAGCATCACATTTTCCCTTTTCCCCCTCCGAACTTTGGATTTTGCTCTGTTTCATTTTGTTTTCAATAAATCCGTTGACAAAATCTCCCGTCAAAACTTCTCAATAATTTTGCATTCTACTGAATGAAAAATTGTTACTCTCATTAGTACTCTCAAGAATAAAAAAAAGTTGATAAACAAAAGTTGATAAAACAAAATATTCATCAAAAAAATTTTTTTTCTCAATTTCCATCAGTCATTTTTCGACTGTTCTGTTTTGCCCCAATCTCCCCTACGTAATAAAAATTTTGCATAAATGTACCGTAAATTTCATTAAAAAATGCCTAAAACTGCCGACGAAATAAAAAATTGATAAACAATTCAATTGCACCAGATAAAAGGCGAGACCGGTGTAAAGCTGCAATACACCCACTGCCGTCTATTCGGAATAGAAGAGAATAGCGGAGCAACTCTGCCGTCTGAATGTAACCCACAGCTGTTGACAGAGCCAATCATCAATGATCTAGTCACCGCAATTAGTCAATTTGATGAGGCGGTTGTTCTATCCTATCAGACACTGGAGTCCTGTTACTTGGCCAAGTACCTGTTCAATTTGAGGTAGATAGCAGTCTATCCAATTCACCATCACCCATTCAATCCACTTAGAATCAATTTTTTCAGTCACACAGTGAACAAGACGATCCAGGAAATACGAGTCAAGGGTGAATCATCGGACGTTGCAGCGCAGCGACTCCTGCTGTATCATTCCTCTAGAAATGTTCTAAACACTGGGATGAAACTTCTCGGTCTAACACCTCTGAATAAAATGTAAAGTTGAATAATTCGTTTGTAATTAACGATTGATTACAAGTAACAGAGCAACTATTCAATGTCAATTGTCTTCATCCTCGTAAGTCATTCATCCGATTGTTTATTTTCGGTTGTAAAATGCCCCTGGGATGTGGAATTACGATTATAAATTCGTTTATCGTGTTGTCTGATGCATCAAGAGCTGAGTTTAACGCTTTTTCCACGTGAATTTACGTCGTGCTCCCTCTTGGCCTGGCTTCTTACGCTCTCGGGTACGCCAATCTCTCGTCAGAAGTCCAGCTTGAATAATTAAAAAAAAAAAAAGATGTAGATTACAGATAATTCAATTAAGAAAATTTTTTCAAACACCTGACGAGTTTTAGATGACTTTTGAATTCTTTAAAAGGTAAAGATTTTTTTTTTAATGAAGAAAAAATTTTAACATTTTCTTGACATTCAATATCTTGTTTGCAAGAAATTTCAATGGAAAACAAGACATATAAAAATTTTAAATTTGCTTCACGTGTCACTTTAAAGGGAAACTGAACCCCTGTGTCTATGTGGACTTTTAGAATTGTTTTCTCCTACAATTACCAATTTTTATCTATGAAACTACTTCATCGATTCAATCATTGCATTTTTGAGTCAAAGAAGTAATTTCACAATTCTAAAAGTTCATATAGACACAGGGGTTCCGTTTCCCCTTAACAGACCCGTCTATAACTTCCTGACGCGAGTTGAAATTTGAAATTGGAAATTAGAAAATTTCATACAAAACATTTATTCTTTCAAATTCCAATTTCCCGAATTTCAATTTTGCCACTTCTCCTTTGAAAAACTCAAAAAGGGATGAGAGGCTTTCTCTCCCAACCTAATCCAGTCTTAAGCAAGTGGAAGCCTATCGATCGCGACCAATTTCATTTCGATGGCACAACGTGTTCGCCCAGGAGGGTTAACAAAAAAAATGTTAACGAAAAAAACAAAGAACGACCTAGGGAGCTTCTACTCCCCACGAACCGTCGACATTTCATGAAATTACGATTCATCATTTCCCGGGTGAAACCAACAACGATCATTACTTCATAATTCCTTACCAACTCTCATTTTCTCAATCATCTTTGCATCCACAAAGCTGCGAAGTCCCCAGGCAATGCCCCACCGAATAGCCCCAGACTGACCAGTCGTTCCACCTCCCTCCACAGTAGCCTCAACATCAATGCTGTTTTCCATCTCCGAAAATATTAACGGAAATATGACCTGAAACATCACCAACAAACGATCTTGATCAACATCTCCCAACAGTCTCCCCACCATCCCTCAATTAAAGTCTCACCAAAAACAATAAAGAACTTCACAAACCCCTCGCCTCCTCAATCCTCGAGAAGTATTTTCTCTAACAATAATAAATAACGATTACGTGATAAATGCAAAAGATAGTCTCCACTAAATAAAACGATTAAACCTCCACCCCATCATCTCTTATGACTCGCAATTTTCGACAGAATATCCGTCAGCATTTTATTATTATCGAGCATCTGCGCCTTGATGACCTTGAGGCCCTCCTCATTAGCCCTGACCCCGCTGGATATTTGATTGATAGTGCTCTGCACTTCGCACTCGGCGGTATCATGACTCTGCTGCTTCATCCAGGTGACATGTTGACTGAGAGTGATGCTGTCGTCGTCGACGATAGGAGCATTCCTCTGAGCGACCTCGTAAGCAGCCTTGAGAATCTCCTTCGGCAGTCTCTTCTCCAGAGGATTGAGGGGCTTCACCACCAGCACCCTCTTCCTGTTCTCCATATCGATGTCATGATCGGACATCCACTTCCTGAAGGTGAAGGGAATGGCGTTGTTATTGAGCACCATCTCCGTGAAGAGTATGAGCTTGGTCTGCCTGACGAGTTTCGTCAGCCCCGCGTGATTCCTCAGTCCCTGGATATCATGAACAGCAATGCCCACTAGCAGATTCATCAGTATAACCGTAACAAAGACAAGAAACAGCGTGAAGAGTATCTGCGAGCAGACCGACAGAGGATGATACAAAACAAACGGCCCATCGGTGATCTGATCAGACTGATTGATGAGTCCCTCGAAGTCCAGCTCCCCCGCCATCATCGCAAGGACCTTGATAAGCCCCGTAAAAGGATTCCCGAAGGAGGGCTCACCAACGAAGATCACGCAGAAGCTGATGGTAAACCCGATGAGCAGTCCCGAATAAGCGAGAAGAAGCTTTGCAAACTCAAACTGTATGTGAGTGAACATGGCAACGTACGTCCCAAAAGCCGGCAGCTGTCCCACCATGAGCATCAGGTTGGTCCAGGCGCAGAGGATGGCGAAGGCGCCGACGTAGTTCTGCCAGTCGTAGGTCTTCCCGGTGTAGACGAAGGACGTCATGAAGACACTGAGAATGACAACTCCATCGAGAACATTATCAATACTCGAGAAGTACTGTCTCGCGGACTTGTGCACCATAAACCCAAAGATCTTCCTGGGTATGGTGATGCAGGTGAGGAAGAGCGAGAGGTACCACTCTATCTCGATGACAGTCTTCCTGAAGAGGAAGCCCGTCAGCCGCTTGCTCCCGCAGACCTTCGAGGCGCCAGTGTCAGCGTAGTTGTAGCACTTGTAGGCGAGGGCGGTCAGTACGTAGGTTGTCATGCAGATGACGGTCATCGCGTAGAGGAAGATCCTCATCAGGTAGAACTTGCGAATCTTCTCCCACTTGAGGTGGAGGAACGCCATGACGAGGGGGTGGGACAGCAGGTCCTTCCGGCGTTCTTGAACAAAAGTGTTGATGAAACTCGTCTCGCAAGGGTTATTACTGGGGAACAGTAGATCAAAGTGCAAGCGCATTTCGAACTCCCGATTGTGGGGGACAGGTCGCTTGAGCCTGATGGAAGCGTCGAGCCGCTGTCGGAAGACCTGAAGGGACTCGGGAATCTTCCGGAGGATGACGTTCAGGGCGGAGAGGCCGGTGCCGGTGGTGGCGCTGACGTCAGCCCCCGCCCAGATGAGAGTGTCAACACACTGGCTTTGCTCGTTGAGCGCCGCGATGTGGAGAGGTGTGAAGCCCACCTTGTCACTGGCATTGACGTTGGCTCCATGCTTCAATAATGACTCGACCAACTCCGCGGAAGAGCCTGTCGTCATCACCGCGAAGTGCAGCGGTGTCCGGTGAGCGCGATCAACAGCGTTGACGTCTGTCCCCGGGGTGTTGAGAATCGCCTCGACGCAGGGAAGATCCTGAACGAAGCAGGCCACGTGAAGAGGCGTCTCGCCGTGGTGGTTCTTCAGGACGACGCTGGCGCCTCTCTCAAGAAGAAGAATCACCACCTCCAGCGATCGTGCGCGGATGGCGCAGTGAAGCACTGGTTCCGTGTCCTGGAGGTTGGCGTTTATGTACAGCTTTGCGCCGCTGTCCAGGAGGACTTCCGCCGCCTCCCGAGAGTTTCCGAATGCCGCGAAGTGCAAGGGCGTGTAGTTACTGCTGCCACTCGCGTAGTTCACGTCAGCCCCGCGGGCTATCAGGTGTCTTAGACACGCGACACTTCCGGATAGGGACGCCGCCAGGATGGCGTTTATGCCGATGCAAGGCTCAACGTAATCGATCTGCGCCCCTCCCGCTTCGAGCTTAGTGAGCAGGTGATCTAGATCCCTGAAGCACGCCCATATGTACGCGATGTTCTTGAAGCGATCTTCGCAATCCGCGAGGACCGCGGCATCAATTTCCCCCGCGTCAATCTCACCTTGCTCCAACTCCAGCAGCTTCTTCAACTCCGCAACACTGACTACCGACCACATAGCACTCTTCAAGCTCGGCCCGCTCACTTCAACGTTCCGCAGGGCCTCCAGATTATCGAAGAAGAGGGACTCGTCGACCGGCGGAGGCTCACCCGCGTCAATCTCCACGTGTTTGATGGACTCCTCCGACGGATCCGTCACGATAACTTTCTCCGGAATATCGCGCGATCGCGATAATCTCGCGGATCTGTACGTCGAGGCCATTCGCACTGACAGCGGATCCCTGGGGCTTCTCGTAGCGTCTGCGAGGGTTGCCATGGAGTAGTGCCGCGGTCTTGGGGGTGAATTCATACCCGTCGGGTCCATATTCGCGAATTCGCTGGGCTCCATTCCTTCCGTTATTCGCGGATATCACTGGGTCATTAGTGCGCGCACATCACGCGCGCTCCCGAGATAATCAGCCACTTTCGGCTGTCTATTTTCACAGCAATTTTCAAATATTATTTCTCCGCGGTGTGACGAGTTAACGCGACACGCTGACAATGGACTGAGGAGGAATGGCGCAGCCTCACTCTCTTGGTCACTCCCTACTTTATTAATTCCTACACCCTCCAACGACTTTAGGCCGCGGCGATACGTCACGAGCGCTGGATCGCGTTTAATGCAGCCCGGACTCTGTCAACGATACCCATTACTGTGTATAGCGACCTCGATGTCATTTCGTGCTGCCGCACCGGTTAACAGCAGTATTATTCAAATTTTCATGGGGATTTTATGACCCAGGTTTTCATTCTCTACGAATTTTGAGTTTTTTTTTTTTTTTTTTTTTTTTTTTTTTTTTTTTTTTTTTTTTTTTTTTTTTTTTTTTTTTTTTTTTTTTTTTTTTTTTTCTCACAGAAGAGATAATTTTATCGCTGAATTGAATTGGGGAATTGTTATCGGCGATATCATCAGCGAGGTCACGTATTGTACTTTCAACGGATCAGTAGCGAAACGGTAAATCGGGTTGAGTCGATTTTGGCTGTTGGCCAGTTTTTGGGGAATGTCTCGGAAGCTAGAGGAGGTAGAAAATTTTTGTCGGGACCTTTTTTGTAGAGCCAACTGAGGGCTGTAAAAAAGGTCATGAGAAAAATTGTGCTATCTCTCTTGGATTCCGAGATATTCGCCGAAAACTGGCGGAAAGGCAAAATTGATTTATCGGTTTGCCGCTTCGCTACTGAGATCGCCCTCGTGATTTAAAACGACGAAACGTCTTCGAGCTTCTGATGATAATGGACTTGTATCATAATTACCTTTAGTGACCGCTACAATTGAACCGATCAGCGATGACAATGAGACTGATAATTCCACCGAGTTTATTCAACTTCCTCTCTATTTATCCATTCTTACGTGGTTCAATAAACAAGGCATTCTCAAACTTCATCAGCATTCCGTATTCTTTCACCATAAAAAATACCGGTGAATTGCGACACTTGAAATTGAGAATAATGAGCGCACGAAAATGGCTTTTATTTCGCGAGAAATTCGGCGTAATCAGATCATACGTGACTCGGAGGGATAAGTATCGTGGAATATCTGGCGGAAATAACCAAGGACGTATTAAAATTAATAACATTTATTCATGAAAAAATTTTGATGCATTTATACAATGTCATTGCGTAAAAAAAGGAGAAGAGCGAGGATAGTGATTCAGTAGCGGAGCTGTAAATCGGGTTAAGTCGCTTCTTTTCGACAATGAGTTTTCCACTGAAATTGAGCCCTGAGTGCATGATGCATCTTCCGCATAAACGACTTTAGCCTCAAAATATATTTCAGTAGCGAAATGGTAAAACGGCTCAAGTCGACTCATCTCCCAATTGAGTTTTTGAGGAATATTTCCGAATCTAAGGGAGATAGCGAAATTTTCGTAATTACATTTGTTGTAGCTCTCAATCGGCTCTACAAAAAAGGTAATAACAAAAATCTCGCTATCTCCCTTAGATTCGGAAATATTCCTCAAAAACTCAACTGGGAGATAAGTCAACTGAAGGGGAGACTACGATGAGTTTTAAAAGTCGTGGGTTATTGGAGTGAGACTTTTCATACGTTGAAGATCGATTATATAGATCTAAAAATGAATAATTAGTGCAAAAAAATTTTTTTTATTGTTCGTTTGCCCGAAAACGATTAAAATGCCAAAAACAGTCCAGGGCCTCCAATTTTTGAGCTACGAAGGAATTTTTTTTTTCAAAATTGTCGGAAAAATATGTGGAATAACAATTACCAGCTAATTTTTCTTTAATTCGCCTCTTACATGACTAAATTTGCTTTTTTATATTTTTTTTACACAAATAGTGAATTTTTTTCATATGAAAAAAAAAGAAATCAACTGTGTAGGAGTCAAATTCCAAAAAACTGGCTCGTAATTATTGTTCCACACATTTTTCCGAAAATTTGGAAAAAAGAAATCTTTTCTAGTTCAAATATTGGAGGCCCTGGGCTGTTTTTAGCATTTTAACCGTTTTCGGGCAAACGAACAATAAAAAAAAAATTTGCACTAATTATTCGTGTTCAGATCTACATAATCGATCTTCAACGTATGAAAAGTCTCCCTCCAATAACCCACGACTTCTAAAACTCGTAGTAGTCTCCCCTTAAAGCCTTTTACCCCTTCGCTACTGAATTGAAACAAAAAATTTGCAAGACATTAGTTATTACTTTTTATGACGGCAAAAATTGGCCCTTGGAAGGTGTTTTTAATCAGAAACCCACTTTTTTCGCCTCAACCCGATTTCCGCTTCGCCCCTGAACGCCACACCGTTGAGCCAACCAACCTTATCCCTCAACAACTAAAAAATCGTACAAAAATCTACCCCTTCTCGTTATTCTCCTCCTCCCCGGCCTCCTCCTTCTCCTTAGTCGTTGAACTACCTATCTTATCAGTGGCCAGCACCGTAACAAGTTCCTGAATTAATTGTCTATTAGCCTCACAAATGCTAGTTAACTCCACAATTCTCTCCTGGAGTCTAGTGGCAATTCTGCCATCGAAGTCATACTCCACCTCAGCATTAACATTTTCGCCATAACGAAACGCCGTTTGCTCGCTCTTCCTCCTGTACAAATAGGCACTGGAGCTCCTCTTCGACGACAAAGTATTCCCAACAAACTTTTTGTGCTTGGCGACCCGATGTGCAGCAGCAAGTACATCCCTGGGTAGCCTGTTCTCCCTGGGATTGAGAGGTCTGACAGTGAGAACAGCCCTCAAAGGTGACGGCAGAACAAGAGTCGTCCAACTGAGCAGTTTCACCACCTTATGAGGCAGAAGAGCCAGCAACAATGCGCTCTCCACATCGCATATGAGTTTCGTCTGCCTGACGAGCTTCGCCAGACCAGCAGTCTTCTGCAGGCCCTTGATATCGTGCACCGCAATGCCCACCAGAAGATTCATCAGAACAATAGTGACAAAGAGAAGGAAAAGGACAAAGGACAGCTGCGCCGAGACCTGCAGGAGAATCCAGGAGGTGCTGCCCACGTCCACATGCCTGCCAACATCCTCTTCCCCGGGGAAAAACAACTCCTCAAAGTCCAATTCCCCCGTCATCATCACGAGGACCTTGATGAGACCGGTGTGCGGTGAACTGAAGGACTTAGACCTCGGAAATATCACGCAAAAGCTCGCTGTGAAGCCAACGAGAAGACAGGCGTAAGCAAGCAGCAGTTTGAATACTTGCGCCTGCACACTGGTGAACATGGCGACATAAGCCCCGAACATGGGCAGCTGTCCGATCATGAGCATGAGGTTGCTCCAGCCGCACAAAACGGCGAAAGCCCCCACATGGCTCTGCCAGGTGTATGTCCTCCCGGTGTAGACAAATGATGTTGCAAATACACTGAGTATGACACACCACTCAACAATATTCTCAGGCTGCATGAAGAACTGCTGGACCGAGGGGTACGTGAGGATCCCCGTGGCCTTCCTGACGCCTTCCAAAACAGTAAGAACAACGAGGGCATACCACTCGACCTCCAGCACCTCCGGATGCCGATGGAAGAAGCCCTTCAGACCCGTGGAGTTGCCGCACAGTGGAAGACTCCCTGTCTCGTCCACCTGCCCGTGGGACTCGTTGTAGCAGTTATGAGCGAGTGCCGTCATCACCCAGGACGTCAGAACCACCACGTACAGCAGATAGAAGAAGAGCCTCCCCACATAGTACTTCCTGATCTTCTGCCACTTGAGATGAAGAAAAGACTGGCAGAGGGGGTGCTCCAGGATCTCCTTGTACCCCTCCTTAACGAAAGTCCCCAGGTACCCAATCTCCCCCTGGCCCTTGTGCTGCAGCAGCGGATGAAAGTCAATTCTCAGCTCCACCTCCCCAGCGGCTGTGCTCTGCTGATGAAGTGTGATCGATGCATCGAGTCTCTGCTTGAAGATGCACAAAGAAGTCGGTGTTTTACGGAGAATAATGGACAATGCCGTTGTACCCCCCTTCGTCCTGGCGCTCAGATCAGCTCCGTATTGAATCAGTACGTCAACACACTGGGACAACTCATTCAGAGCGGCCACGTGGAGCGGTGTATAGCCATACTTGTCGGCCTTGTTAACGTCCGCTCGCCAGCCAATTAGAAATTCCGTAACGTCGTAGGCCAGTAGTGACCTGCCAAGGGCGAAATGCAGGGCAGTTCGTCCGTCATTATCATCGACATTAGGATCGCACGAGCCATTGCGCAGGAGTGCCTCGACGCATTCCAATGAGTGCGATCTGGCAGCGAGGTGAAGTGCCGTTTGGCCTCGATGATTCTTCACCCTGACGTCGGCGTGTCTTTTAATGAGTATTTCAACGTTATCAGTGCAGCCGCCCTCGGCTGCGAGGTGGAGCGCTGTATCGCCCTTTCTCGTCGGCAAATCGGCCGCACAACCGGCGTCGAGGAGGGTCGACAGGCACGAGGAATCGCCACGATCAGCGGCATAGTGAATTGGGCCGAGACCGGTTGAGTCTAGACGATTTAACGAGGGATTATTCGGGGCCAGGAGAGCCACAATCTCTTGCGAATTGCTCCTGGCTGCCGCGTGGAGAACGCTCTCCTCGCCTTGCGCTGACTCCTGGGGGATGTCGAGCTCGAGGAAGTAGCGCGCCACCGCCAGAGAGTTGCCGAAGGCTGCGTAGTGAAAGGGGCTGTGGGTTTTGCTGCTGTTGACAATTGCCCCGTGACTTATGAGGTATCTCACACCGTTCAGACAGTCCGAGTAGGCGCACAGGTGGAGGCCAGTCAGTCCGCGCTCTTGCTCGCTGTGATTGACGTCCCCTCCCGCCGAGTGAATGCTCGGCAGGAGGTCGTCTCGACCCAGGTAACAGGCGTACAGCATCAGAACGTTGATCTCGGGCCTCTTGGACGTCTGCAGGACACTCTTCAGGCTCGAGGGCTCGTCCAACTGGCCCGTCTCGAGGTCCTCGATCAGCTGCATCCTTCCCCCGAGCGATCGCATGTGCTCCGACAGCAGTCCTGTAATTATGTCGCGCGACACGGAGAGGACTCCCTCGTCGTCGGTGGTGGAGGTCTCGCTCAGGCACATGGAGTAGCAGTGGGGCTCCTCCACCGGCGGGGGCTTTCCGTAATCCATGCAGCATTCACCTGCCTCCACGCTCTCGTCGGCGTTCATCGACGACTTTTTCGACGCCAGCCATCGGGTCAGGGATAGCGACATGTACGGACGGTATCTACGGGCTCCTGGGTTTGAGGAGGCGTAACCCGGGGACGAGTAACTCTGCTCCAGGGTCACGCGCTTACGCGGCGGCGGGAGAATCGGCACGCTGGGACATCTGTCCCCCAGGTTCGACTTCATCGTTCGCTCTCAACTGACTGGAAAATTATACATTCTTTACATCGGTTGGGGGGGTGCGGGGAGCAGTGATGCCGCGGGACGAGAGGGGGCCGTTCGCGGGCTTCTCTCGGTGACAGGAAACCATTTCGCGGCTCGGCTCGTATCGGAATACGAGGAATTTCTTTTTTGTCTCGCCGAGAATTGAGAGACTCGCGGCTTGTTTCGTCTCGTCTTGTCGCGTCTCTGTGAGAATTTGCACCGAAAAAATACGCAGAGGGGCACGTACACGGAAAAATTTATATTTTGAAAAATATATTCAAAAATATATCAAATTGGCCCAATTTATGTAAAACAATAAATAAAATGTATGTGCTATATTTATTTTTAATTTATTCTTTATAAATTTGATAAATATGTAGAATTGGCCCATATTATATATTTTTTAATATATTTTTTGATGGCGGAAGGGGCACCAATATATTTGGCCAATATATTTGCCAATATATTTTGAAAAATATATTCAAAAATATCTTAAATTGGCTCAATTTATGTAAAAAAATATATAAAATGTATGTTGTATACATATTTTTTAAATATATTCTTTATAAATTTGATAAATATATGGAATTGGCCCACATTATATATTTTTTAATATATTTTTTGATCGCGGAAGGGGCACCAATATATTTGGCCAATATATTTGCCAATATATTTTGAAAAATATATTCAAAAATATCTTAAATTGGCCCAATTTATGTAAAAAAATATATAAAATGTATGTTTTATACATATTTTTAAAATATATTCTTTATAAATTTGATAAATATATAGAATTGGCCCACATTATATATTTTTTAAATAAATTTTTTGATGGGGGCAGTGAGGGGGAGGCTCTCTCGACTCTCGTCTCGTCATGTCTCTCATCTCGTCTTGTTTGTCTCGTTTTTCTCGCGTCTCGCGGCATCACTATCGGAGACATTACAAACGGTAAAGAAAGAAACGGTGAGGCCTGAGGTGGAAGGATTTTCGCCTGAGATTTACACGAGCGGAGTTCTTCAGCGGCGGGAAAATATCCCTCTCTTCGGTCAAAATCATGAGAATTGTTGGAAAAATTCCGCATTGCCCAAAAAATTTACAGAAACACATGAATTTATACTACGATGCCATTTGGCTTCTGGTGTTCCCAGGATAATTCACGTTGCATTCTACTCAATATTTTATTCTAAATAGAATAGAATAGAATCTTCTCGAGTAGAAGATAATGTGTAAAATCATACTGAATCCAATGGCCACACTGTTAAAAAAATTTAACTGAATTTTCCAGAAAATGACACTGAATTCAATTTAGCGGAAAAAAGTCTATGAAATTTCAAGTTTCCCTGAAAATTCAAGGAAATTCCTGATTTTTCAGTGGAAGAACCATGAACATTCCGAAATTTCCCTGAATTTTCAATGTACACATGATAACTCAATAAGAAATTGCTCTGAAATTTCAAAAAATTGAAAATTCAACATTGTTGCTTGAATTTTCCAAAGTTCCATTAATTTTCATGGAATAATTCAACTGAAATTTAAAATTTCCGTGAATTTTCCACGAAAACCTCAAATTTCCAACGGTAAAATTCCCTGAAATTTCAATGAAACCGTCACTTGTTCCATATTTCAAGACTAAAGCCTAGAAACTTCAGTGGAAATTTTTTAACAATGCAGAGGAAAATCTGGAATACCCGGGCAAAAAGGAAATATTTGAATGACTCTATCCCATACAAGCGCATGTGAGCGCACGCATTTGGCGCATTTTGTCTATTTCATTTCTAACTAATGACCATGGATTGGTGAATTGAAATTTGTATCAGAGTGAAGAGAATATTTTCGATAAACATCCTCAATTCTGCGACATTTTTGAGTTTATGCACATGTAAAATCCGAAACGCTCGCGTAGACCTCACGGAAACCACCTGTGACCTCCCGTTTCCTTCACCCTTTCATTCCTCTTCCGTGCATCATGTTCCGGGAAGGATTCTGGGAATGCTTGAACGGATGTAATGATGACCTTCAACTACTCTAATACGCACATGGAATTGTGAAAGTTAAGAATTCTAATGTGTCAATCACGGTCGCGCTTTCGTGACCTTACGATAATTGAATGAAAACGTTTACACTCTATTGAATTACAATCACGAAATTCATGTGCCGATGTTATTGTTGAATTCCAAGGGAGAGAGAAAGATGACTTGGTAATTGTCGTCGTTGACAGGGGGTAGAGGAGTGTAACACCGAAAAACGTCATTGCGAACACGCGTTTCATACGAGAAGATTAAACGGACGAAATGTCATTCTTGGCTACGAATGTCAAGTGGAAAATCGGGCAAATAAATTGCAGACGACGTTCCAGTTTATCGGTACTTGGGGGGTAGGGGCAAAGAGGGGCGGGAGAGGGGGGGGGGAATTAAGGAAGGAGGTACCGTGTATTTACGTTTATGCGGACGATTCAGAGTGGATGGGAGGGGATGTCCAGTGTCTTCGAGACCTATCGCGGTATATCGAGTGGTGAATTGATATTCCTCCCGAAAATATGATTGCAGTTGAGTTATCGGCAGAATGTCGAGGTAATCAGGTGTTAATCTGGTTGATTATGACATTTGTCATTGATTTCGGACGATTATGAGTGATTGGATTTTGTTGGGAATCATTTTTTTTTTCTATATGACTAATCGAGATTAATTCACGACAGTCACCTTTCAACGGTGATACCATGGCTGTCCTTAAGACGACTGTTGCTGATGGTAATCCAGTATTATTATTTTTTTTCAAACACTTATGACGATCGGTTGCACGGTTTTGATCGAATGATCCCACGTCTCACTGTGGGTACAGCCATTCGACGACTGGGATGGAATTACGCGTGGGTAATATCAAAGTGGTGTACTTGTGCGTTGTAAGGATCAACGCGAACCGGTCACATTCGCTGACGACTATCGACTGAAACGATTTATCGACGAGAATGACTCTTCTGGGGGGAGGCGACCGGCTTGGGCTTGAGAGATGGGGTTTTGCGAGGTTTTTTAATTCGTTTCGAGGGTGATTCATACGCGGCAAATTGCGGCTCTCGGTGTGATCTCGTGAGGCTTCATTACTGGGAATTTACGAATGTTGAGAGTTTTTTTTGACCGCGGGATTACGCAATCGAATTCTTGATGATGCGGCGAAAAGAATTTTCCTGTCGTATCATTGGTTGTTGGAATTGCGAGAGCTCTGAGGGGTATTTGTGGTTTTTGTTTGGGTTTGGGTGGTATTGACAGCACTTACCTGGAAATTGGCAACACGCTGGCTATATCTTTCGTCACTTTACGCGTCATTATTGTTTTTTTTTGATCGAGCACAACGGAATGAGTTTTAATTACACTTTTCATTGAAGAAGAAATCAGTAGCGAAGTGGTGAAACGGTAAAAGTTAATTTTGGCCACTGACCAGTTTTCAATGAATATCTCGGAATCTAAGGGAGATAGCAAAATTGTTGTGATGACCTTTTTTGTAGAGACGATTGAGTCCTACAACAAATGTCATTACGAAAATTTCGCTATCTCACTTAGATTCGGAAATATTCTCCCCTTTAATATTATTAATAACAATAATATTATATTTTTTGTTGATGTTTTAGACACTCGTTTTGTGGTCTCGCAAAACCTTCGTGTTTTTGTTCATCTCCATTGTTATTAAATATCTAAATACTTCAATTATTTTATGAAAATTAATAAAAATCGGAAAACTTACTTGTTCACGATCATGAGTTCGTTGAAAATAAGTTATGTCCTTCGAATTGATTTTTATCTGCCCTGATCCATTGCCCCAGAGTTTTACCTGAGCTGTTGCTGTTTGCTTCCTGGCTTCTGTGGAATTAAATTTTTTTGTTCATGATAACAATTACTATTATTATTCATCATTATTGTATATATTTTGTTCTACGGTTTCTCAATCAGAGAAGAAAAGTTAGGGACTTCAATGAAGATTGTTATAAACTAAATTTAGAGGGGTTCTTAATGTGATTTAAAGGGAAAAAAATAGCTCACGTGATACTACGACGTACGGTCTTCCTTGTTCGCTATACTCCAACTGGAAATGAACAGAATTTTCCTTGAAAAATTGTCGTGAGTTTATTGGAATGTAAATAAGAGACGGAAAATTGTACTTACGGGGGGAATCACCAGCCCGGAGACGTCTGCCTTATGCTCTCTCCTAAATTGCACGAGGAAATCCCTGCAGACAGCGGAATATGGGTGATTGGCGAGTCTCTCCGCAGATGCCACGAAATAATTGTACTGTAAAATGAATAATTGAGGAATTTAAGTGTCAATTAACCTCATTTGTATTGAATGTGATTCATAATTTTCCTATTTATTGATTATTTAGTGATTTTATGTTTTTACCTGTCTCTCCATCAGAGGCTCGAGGAAAAATTTCTCCAAGTCAGCTTGGGATAACCAAGAGGACGACAGGAGGTCACTAGGAAAATTGAGAATTCGTTCGTTTTTTCATTCCAGTTTCTTAAATTTGGCTTTTATTGATTAAAAAATTTGGAATTGGTGGACTTACGCTTTATTCTCGGGGGTCGGCTGCAGCCCCTGACGTATCTCGTCATCCTGTATTTTATCCACTTTTTCCAGGTGCTCCACCATGTCCTGAATGATACAAATACATTGATGAAAGGATTAATGCAATCATTCACACAAAATAACAGAGTAAAATGACTGGTTTTTCCCAGAATCATCAAGTATTGTGGAATTACGCAGACAACCAGAGATATTCTCGGGTAATTACGTAAAGAAATGAGTTTGAAACTCTTAGAACGATAGTACATTAAAGGAGAGAATTTACTTGACTTCAGAAACTATTCCAAATATTTGTTAATGAGGACTTACGTAAAGGGCTTGATAATAATTCGGTATTATAGTGTAAAAGAGGAAGTGGAAAGGCCTCCCCTGGTCGTCGAACTGGGCAGACTTCTTCGGTGGAAATATCTTGTTTGGATTCTCCATGATTGGCCTGGCTTTTGGCTCGTACAAGCCAGAGGGGAACAGATACTTGATGGCAGCCTGCAGCAATAACCAATACCAATACAACATACAATCACAAACTTGGAATAAAAAAATACTCGATAAACACAAAAATATTGTTTTCTAAATACTTTTTTTGTATTATAATATATAGCATAGTATAGAATACAATATAATAAAGTATTATCGTAATATCTTTGATGTATAAATACTATCATCATTTATGAAAAATTGTGTCACACAATACGCCGAATCGATTGGCTTCAAAAAACGTTACACTGGATTTTTTAATAAAGGATCAAGCTTCCAGCACTTAGCATTACCCAGGGTTCGCAACGGGGACGCAGCTGGTATTATTTCCACAAAAGTCTAAATTTGACACAGTCAACCCCCTTCAAGTTATTTACCTAATTGAGTCCGACTCAATTTTCTTGTTGATGCCAATTTCTTTTGGTAATGAATGACGAATTCATTCAGTTTCCTCGAAAAATTCAATGGAGTAGTTATATACTCTATTTATCAATATTGTATACAAACATTTTGTATCGTTGAATAGAGTAGAAATTATTAAACAATTGATGAATAGGTCATTTCTCTGGGGTCAAATTAATGCGTAAAAATTTATCAACTCACGTTCACGTCGTCCTGGGTGAATGTCTCGGCAGGTTGCCCCATCATATTGGCGAGATGTCTCTTCCCGATTTCGTATTCTTTACTTTCTTTCTGCATGAAATCCTCTGAAAACCATAAAATGAATAAAAAATGTCATCAAATGAATTAAATACCAATTTTCTCAGACAAAAATTCCCCTTTTTAGAAAATTCTCTGAATGGAAAATAAAAATGATAATTTTTCGGAAAATTGAAATAAATTCATCTCCTGGAGAGCAAATTAAACAATTAAATTTAACTGAGAGATTTAATTTTAATTTAATCATAAAGTGAAAACGGTTGTAATTTTGCATTTGTTCTTACTTGTTTGTTAAATAAAGTGAAGTGACATTCAGATATTTTGATTTCTTCTCCTTTATTTTTGCATTTCGCATTCGATAATATTTTTTGGAGGAGATTCATAGTCTGATACTAACCATACTCCCTTGCTCTCTGAATGTAAGCCATCATAGCCTTGCTGATTTTCTTCTGACGTAACTGGGGCTCTCCCTCGTTCATTATATGATCTATGTCTACTTGACTGACACATCTCGATATAATTCCCTAAAAATCCCATTGAAAAAACGTCAAACGAAAAATAATTCCTGATTTATCATGGAAGAGAGAGAGGTTAGAATTCCTCCGAAGTGTTTTTTTTTCATCAACGAAGGATGTCAAGTGTCAGAATAAATTCTATAAGTGTAATTACCTTAGGGGGATTGAGTAACAATGAAGTGTTCCAGGAATTACACAGACTTTTCACTGCACTCCGGTTAAATCCATGTCGCCCGAGGAGGGCACATGAACCGGAGAGCGCCATTTTTATTTATGATGACAGCGGAAGGGTGGGTTTTCACTCGCAGCGAACAGTCCGCAAATGACAGCGACTCGTCCGCTAAAATCGGCGACATACTCGAGCGGAAGGCGCCAAAATTCGAACATTGCTTTGTTCATCATGAACATCAGTAGACATTTCCTCCTAAAACCCCAAATTTTCAGCCTAATTGATAATTGAATATGCACTCCGCCTAGTCTGTAACTTCTCATTGAATTTGGATCCAATTTCAGTCTTACGGTGACAGTGATTCGAGATTTTCGAGATATATCGAGATCGATTTCCTTTCTCCTTTTTACGATAGAAGGACTTGCAGGTTAGACCGGATATGACGTGCGTAGACATCGATTATTTTCATAAATCGAGAAAAAATGATCGATATCTCGCAGTTTGATTATTTCGAGAATAAGGACTAGCATACGGCCCGCGCTTCATGCGCCTTGACGGTTCGACCGGATATGACGTGCGTAGACATCGATTATTTTCATAAATCGAGAAAAAATGATCGATATCTCGCAGTTTGATTATTTCGAGAATAAGGACTAGCATACGGCGCGCGCTTCATGCGCCTTGACGGTTCGACCGGATATGACGTGCGTAGACATCGATTATTTTCATAAATCGAGAAAAAATGATCGATATCTCGCAGTTTGATTATTTCGAGAATAAGGACTAGCATACGGCGCGCGCTTCATGCGCCTTGACGGTTCGACCGGATATGACGTGCGTAGACATCGATTATTTTCATAAATCGAGAAAAAATGATCGATATCTCGCAGTTTGATTATTTCGAGAATAAGGACTAGCATACGGCGCGCGCTTCATGCGCCTTGACGGTTCGACCGGATATGACGTGCGTAGACATCGATTATTTTCATAAATCGAGAAAAAATGATCGATATCTCGCAGTTTGATTATTTCGAGAATAAGTATTAGCATACGACGCGCTTCGCGCGTCGTGCGCCTTGCAGGTTAGACCGGATATGACGTGCATAGACATCGATTATTTTCATAAATCGAGAAAAAATGATCGATATCTCGCAGTTTGATTATTTCGAGAATAAGGACTAGCATACGGCGCGCGCTTCACGCGCCTTGACGGTTCGACCGGATATGACGTGCATAGACATCGATTATTTTCATAAATCGAGAAAAATGATCGATATCTCGCAGTTTGATTATTTCGAGAATAAGGACTAGCATAAGAAGGCGCGCTTCGCGCGCCTTGACGGTTCGACCGGATGTGACGTGCATAGACATCCATTATTTTCATAAATCGAGAAGAAATGATCGATATCTCGCAGTTCGATTATTTCGAGAATACCGCATCAGCTCCTTTAGTACTCAGGATGTTCTTTTAAGAATAGGAACGTGTTCAAAACGGAATGTGTCCATCTGAGATTGCACAAACGCCCCTCCCCCCTTCGGCCGAGCGATTTAACCCTTCGGCCACCATCGCCGGTTCTGCAACCACTAGTTTAAAAATCCATATTTTACCGCCAGTACTGTCGCAAACCAATGAGCCACGTCGTGTCGCTCGTTGAAAATACTCTAATTTTTCAACCGTCGGAGAGTACTTCGGGGTATTTGAATCGCGCATACCGAACTAGTGACGCAACAGGGGGGGGGGGCGAAAGCGTTTGCTATCACCCGCCGGTCACTGCACTATATATATAATAGACGGCCGTTGGGGATCAAAACGTGCGGAGAAGTCGCAGTGCGACGCGTTCTCCTCCCACTCGCGCAGTGGTACATTTTTTCTTCGTTTCGGGGGGGTGTGGCCTAATTTGAATGAACCAATCAGAAGCCAATCGCACCAATCGCATTGTGAAATAGAAGGACAGACCGCGCACTGGGACTTGTCTCTCGGCCGGTTTCCGACTCCCAGCGGCCGTTTCAGTGAATCTATAGTTCAGTGCGTTTTACGTTCTACTCCGAATGCAGCAGCATCAATCGCAGTGCGAGGAGCAACGCTGCAACAGGTTGTTGCAATGAAAACATAGGTGCTTCGACAACGTCGTGGAACGAGGAGCTCAATATCCATCGCAGGTACTCGAATCACGTGAAATAATAAATATAAGTGCAGACTAAATGACTAAAATTCGACATCTTCAAATTAATGAGTAGAATTGGATGCGTGAGACGGTGTGAACTGATAATTGTGTGTTGTTGTTGTTGTACAGAAATATTTTGAGTGTTGATGCGAGGAGATAAAGGTAAACAAATGAAAATGAGCGATACAACCGAGAATAACAAATACAAATGGACTCCGGAGAGCACAACTCTCCTTGTTTCTGTCTGGACGGACAGACAGGTACAAAAACAACTCGAGTATGCAGTGAAGCCCCAGCTAATATGGGAAAGTATCGCCAAGTACATGAGAAAAAAAGGGTACGGAGTTACGGCTCGACAATGCAGGTCCAGAATGAAGCAGGTGTTGGTTTGTTATCGGGAGGCGAAGAAAACTGGAACCCGAGCTGGGGTTGAGCGGTATTATGAGTCCATCGATAAGGTTTTGGAGAACAAACGGCTGACCAAGGGGGAGACTGATGCGGAGAGGGAAGCTGAGACGGATGCTGGGGGTGTGGACACTGTAGGCGAGTGACTCTCACTTTTTTTTCACTCCTTGAGGATGCATTACACCCTCTTCGCTGAAATTCGCGTTTTTATTTTTTCTGGTAAATTGTTGATCGGATTGACGTGAAAAAATAGACCGTTTTTGCGGTTTATCATTAGTTAATGACTCACGAAATTTCATGATCGTGCAATCATTTTCCTGCATTTTTTCTAAAACTTTTAGGAAATTCAGAAAACTAAAAAAATGCAGGAAAATGATTGCATTACCATGAAACTTCGTGAGTCATTATTGTGACAAATAAAAGGAACTTCAATTCTAGAGAAGTTCGATTTCTCCCAATCAAATGTATCTCAAGAAGAGATAACTGGTATTCACTATGAAATCATGTTTATTTGAAAATTACATGCAAATCAGTAGTGAAGTGGCCAAACGGTTTAAGTCAATGCCATTCTAGCGCCAGTTCTCGATGAATATCTCAAATTCTAAAAGAGTTAGCAAAATTTTCCTGAAAATGTTTTTTGCAAAGAAAAATGAAGACTATCGGAGAAGATCTTACAAAAAATTCGCTATCTTTCTTAAATTCCGAGTTTTTTATTGATATGCAGCAATCCTTATTGGATTATTTACAAAACGGACGATAAATTACAAATTTACAGATTACAATTGGTTTACAATTTTGTTACAATTTGAGAATAATTGGTGTTACCTTGTCTGCGCCTACGTTAGATTCTCATTTTACATGTTGTAATGAACCCGTGAATTATTTTAAGAGGTTCTAGTTTCGCTGACGCCAGCAATGCACTTATGGTGTACGGTCGTTGGCATTTAAGTATAATCAACTTGGATATCACTAGGTCTCTTTCGTTATCAGGAAATTCCGAGTTATTCAACAAAAACTCAACTGGCAGTCAAGTCCACTTAAACCGATTGACCCCTTCCCTACTAAAACCCCAAAATCAATACAACTTCGTCGCATTTCAAGATACATCAGTAACTTACTGCGGATCCTTACAGAATCAATTTATGTCAACATGAAATAATTCTCTTCATAAACTGAATTTCACCCCAAACAATTGAATTTCCCACAGACTCCGGCCAATTTCTGCTGAAATCCCCCGAGAAAGAGATAAAGACTCACGCAAATTTCCTGATGCGCCGAAACAAATTGGAGGAGCCTCCAGAGCCCCTGGTCCGCCAGATCGAGATTGACCCGGGCCCTTGGAGCTACCTCCCCCACGACTACTACGCCGACTCATCCGAGTCCAACGAGACCGTGCTGGCACGTCCCCACCGCTCCCTATCCCCGACAGTTCTCGACCCCCGCATAAACCTCGTGCCAAAAGCCCTCCGCTCCAACATGGGCAAAGTCCTCCGGAGATCTCTCCCCGAGGATCACTACCGCTACAACACCCTCGAGGCGAACCGCTTCTCCGAAATGCCCCTGAAAAACACCGCCCAAAACGTCCAGAACCAGATAATTCAGGAGAACATGCTGCTGAAGAATCAACTGTGCGAAAATTACATGAGCAATCAAGGACTGCAGCAGCCCCCGAACGGGCCTCAGTCCATGGACTACTGCCTCAACATGGGAAACATCCCCCAGCCGCCGAGAAATCACCCCCAAGACAACATCCTGTACTACCCCACCAGGCACTCGACCAACCTCGCCAGGATCCAGAGTCAGCTCCAGCAGTGCGCCCTGACAGAGCGACTGGACAACCCCCAGCAAGCAAAAAGCTTCGTCCCCCTGGCCCCAAAGAACTCGGAGAACATCAACTACAAAATTCCCCTGCGTCCCCAGACAAGTTGTCACCCCGACATCGCCCCCAACCTGAACGAAGCCTTCTACCAGGCGAAAATATCCCAGCAGACGAAGGCCCACAACTTGAACGAGACGTACGACCAGGACACCGACATGTTCCCAGTCAACACAACGATGATAACGAACAACGCGACATTCAACGACGACACCCTGTCCATAGAATTCATCCAGGACTCGCCCAGTCCATCTGAGAATGGCCTCGTGGGCTCCAAGAATGACTCCCCGAATCCTCCGCACGCCCCATTCAGGAAGAAAAAGGCGCAGAAGTTGGAGCAGCTGATGCTGAGCGCCATCACTTCACAGACAGAAGTGGTTAATAAAATCCTAGCAGCGCAGGATTCGATGGTCGCTCGGATCCTGGACAGGGATCAGACACGTCAGGATAGACTTGAGAACCGTCTCGATCAGCTGATGAACGTGGTGCATGCGACAGTGCTGAACAAGAGTGGATCAGGCATTGAGAAATCTGGGGATAACACTCCACCAAACGTCATCACCTCGGTTCCCCTGTGCTTCTCCCCCCCACCTAAACCAGGAACAGTCCCTCCGAAGTTGGATCTGGTGCCACCGAAGCCCTGCAGAGTCCCCTGCACCAGCCCCTCCTCGAACATTGAAGTAATAACCCAGAACTCAGTGACAACGAGACCTGGGGTGATTAGACCATGCAAACCAGGGACGATCTGGTCGAAGCTGGGGCCAGTGTCAGCCTCTCCGTTCGTCCAGGCTCAGAAGGAGATGAACACAGCAGCAGGAGTGCCACCTGGAGTCGCCAACGAGTGGAAAACTAAATCGTCAGCTGAGAGGAGAATTGAACTCGGTTCTGCCAGAATTTTTCAGGGCAAAGTGGCGATGGAGGAGACTCAGAGGTTTCTGCAGGCTGAGAAGCTCATGGAGGAGAGGATTGAGAATGCTCGACAGATTTTCTTCGGTGACGATAATAAAAAGCCGGATACTCAGCCTGCTCGACGAAAGCTGTTCAATCTCGCTAAAGAGGAGAATAAAGAAAAGAGGGAGATCAAGTGTCCATCAGCTGCCAGGATTCTAACGTCCAACTTCCTCGATATTGAAAGACAGGCTGAGGAGCGGTCTCGTTACTTTCCAATCTTCAAGTATAAGAATGAAGTGGGTGATGAGCTTCTGAGTGGTCACGGTGAGGGTTACGAACGCCTGAGGAATCTCGATGAGGCGTTGGGTCTCAATACCTCAACACCAGCGAAGGTGGAGACGAAGCAGAGGAGTAAGGACTTGGATTTTGACGATGTGGTCCCAAAGCAGACGATTCAGCAGCTGGCACAGCTGGTGATGCAGAGCGCTCGGTGGAAGCAGGCAGCCTCTCGAGTGGAGCCAATTTCGTCAGCACCTCCAGCCCCTCCATTGCCTTCTGCACTTTACGAAAATTATGCTCAACGTCAGGGCTACAACAAAGCTCGGGATTGGCTGGAGGATCGGTATACTTATGGGATTGAGAAGCAGAATTACGAGCCTCAGAAGGTGGGGCCTAAGAAGTATCCCGTAGGATTTGTTAATCCTAGGAATTATCCGGAGAACGAGAATGAGGAGTTGATGCGTGAGAGACAGGGGTTTAAGTCGATTGGGTTCAATGGCCAGGTTATGCCGTTAAATCGACGTGGAGGTGATGACGATTTTTTGGAGAAGGAGAGGATGATCGAGGCCAGGCAGAGGTACTCAAAGGGGAATTATGTCGTCTCCAGGAAACGTGAGCCGAGTGGTAAATACGGTCCTGATGGGGCGGGGCTGGGGGAGGCGGGGAAGAATACTCGGGGGGAGTCTGATGTCGAGGACAACGATGAGTATCTGGACACAACGACGACGTTGAAGCCTTATCGAAAAACTTCGCTGACTTCCAATGGGACTTCTGGAACTGGGACTGGTAAAAATGCAGCTGGGTGTGCCATATCATAATTTTTTCTTCCTGTTTTTGATTTTTTACGTTATTGAGGGGTCAGGAATGCAATAGGGAACTTGCATGAATTTTTTGAATTCTCTGATGTCAAGTTTGGGACCTGAATAATTCATTTTTCACTCGCAACGTTTGAAATATTGCTGATTAATTAATAATTAATTGGTACAAATTGAAGTTTTCAAGGAAAGAATGAACTTCGTGCAAATTCCCCTGTGATTTCAGTGGTAAAGTGATAGGAGGAAATGAGAGCTTAAAAACATGACATGGAAATTTTTGTAGAGAACTTTATGGACTACAAAAATAACTTCTGACATTTTACAGAATAATGTAGACGAAGATGATGTTTTCACACTTCGTTACTTGTCTTCCAAGAGAGAGAAATTTATGAGATTTATTAAAGTCAACTGTGATTGACTTTTTGTTGTCAGTTCTACTTATCCTTTATGTTAAAACTTGATGGGAGATAATAGTTGCATCTTTATTTTTTATTCATTTCAGTTGGATCTGATGAAATTTGTACGTTTTTTTTTCTTTTTCTCACAATATGATGGCAATATGTGCTAATTTCGTTGTTAGGTTTACAGATTTCGTTATAAAACGATGAAGCGAAATAAATTGACTTGAGTTTGAGAAGATTCTTTGGGGAATGTCTCGGGATTCGGTGGAAGCATTACAATTTTCATTATCATAATTTTTTTAAAAAAGTGCTTGTGACGAGTGGTCTATATCCCTCACACTCAATGATATTTATCAAAAAATCGTAAACTCTGGAGTTCAATCAAATTATCTCGACATACGACTTCACAACTGGATTATAAAAATTAAGTTTCATAGCTTGGGTCGGCAATACGTGCCGTGAAAATAATTGCATCCTGTGTAGCAATGAGTAATACAAACGGATGATCAACGCTGAACTTGACTTCTTTTTTTTCCGCCTCCCAGCCAAACCTGTTTTCTAGTTCCACTCCTGCAACAGAGTTGGCATCAATTTATAAACTTTCAAGACTTGAGAAAAAATGATAAGAAGCAGCGCATTTGCTGTAAATTTTATTGAAATTCTATTTCAACTCTACTGATACCAACGACTCGACGAACACTCTGTGAACATTGAAAGCCATGACAAAAAACGACATTCGTACAACCACAATAAAGCAACTTACCTCAATCAACGGTCTTATAATATCCACTAAACAATACAACTCCCCCTTCCTCTCGACCTAGACGTTTTACGATAGCGTAGTAAAAAGGACGGTCGACGTGAAAATCAATTGGTATGGGTGCTGAGAATGTTGTAGCTTCAATGCCTGAATACAAAATTTTCATTCTACTCACTCTATCCATATGAATAACAAACATTTCAGTAGCATTTCGGCTTCATAAAATAAGATGAATAATTACGATTGCGAAATCATTTCTTCAAAATATTTTGCGATTTTTTATTCATTTATTATTATATCAGTAGCGAAGTGCTAAAACGGTTTAAGTCTACTTATCTCCCAGTTGAGTTTTTGAGGAATATTTCCGAATCTAAGGGAGATAGCGAAATTTTCGTAATCACATTTGTTGTAGCACTCAATCGGCTCTTCAAAAAAGGTTCCAACAAAAATTTTGCTATCTCCCTTAGATTCCGAGATATTCATTGAAAACTGGTCAACAGTCGAAAGTAACATGTACCGTTTTACCACTTCGCTACTGATATTTTTTTGTGATTCAAGAGAATTCGAAAATTATCTACAAATTTACGAGAAACGTTCAGAAAAGTTGTAGAGTTTTCACCAGAAATGGGCACAACATGAATGGAATTCCCCAATCCCCTGGGACTTACTCTCAAATTGAATTATTCTCAAATTATTTTTCTCTTTGCCCTCCAGTGAGATTACAAGACGAAAAATATGTGAATTGTTCTGGGACTTTCTCTTGTGTTAGATATTCATTGAATGTTGGTATAATTACGCGGTTGAAGGCCACTAAGGGGATATGAAAGAAGCTTGGGTGAACATAAAAAGCAGCGAAGGAGTTTCAGCACAAGGACAGAAGAACATATTACGTAAAATTCAAAACGAACTCCAGTGAAATGGCTCGAGCATTATACAGGGAGAAGTGGTGGAAGGAATGGGACTCACCGGTTGCTGCTGCGGCCTCACTGCCCTCCTCATTCACCTCAATGAACGCCTTCTGCACGATCTTGTTGACTTTTAAGTGAGGAGCTTCAGCAGAGAGGATGCCAGTGAGGTCGGCAGAGTCCTCGAAGATGTCCTTGAGGCCGAGGTCGCTCAATGGGGCCTTAAGGTCCAGTTTCGATTCTACTTTGAACTTGGGAAGAGATAGGTTGACCTTCACTAGGGAACCAGAGAGGAGACGATTTAGGTCGAGTTTGGTCAAATTTTGTTGAAGGTCTTTCAAACCCGATGGCTCGTTGGGGAGGACGATGAACATGCTTATGCCGTCACTGATGTCATTGCTCTGTGAAAAATCAATTCAATTTAATTTCAATTCAGTAGCGAAGTGGTAAAACGGGTTAAAGCAGCTCTACTCTTCGGTCGGGGAAGCTGTTCTTTGGGATATTTTCAGTTTTTTAATTTTTCAACTAAATTGCATGGAAAAAATTTGAAAAAATTCATACCCAGTCAGTATTATCTAAATTAAATTTCGCAAAATAGCGATATTTTTTCAAACATTTCCCTGTTATAAATAAATAATAAAACTTGGTTGCAAAAGGGTGGATTATTTTTTATGAGGTGTCAAAAAAATTCTTGATTTTTTCACATCTAATTTAAAAAAATTCAGATTTTAATCTTTGATTACAATGCAAATGTTGATTTTCACATAAGACGCTGAGTTAAATCCTGATTTTTACACATGTCTTCTTTGAAAAACCAAAACGATAATTAAATTGAGAAAAAAAATAGAATTCCGAATCTAATCGAGGTTTCTGCAATTTTTTTGCCGTTTTCAATAATCTTTGAATTTATCGTAAGGGTACGTGGATACGTCTATGGTTTCAATAATGGGGGATCGTTTTGGGAAACGGTCCTTATGTGCAGCGCCATCTATCGGAATTCTACAAAATTCTAGACATTTCGAGGTAATTCGAGAAGTTTCTTGACATTTCGAAAAAATTCAAGGAGTTTCTAGAAAATTCGAGGGAACTCAAGGAGTTTCTAAAAAAAATCGAGAGAATTCAAGGAGTTTACGGAAAATTCGAGGGAATGCAAGGAGTTTCTAGGAAATTCGGGAAAGAAGGAAAGACCATGGACGTATCCGCGTATAATTACAGCTGTATCGAAGATACCGCCGCCTGCAATTTTTTTATTGAATTTTTTCGTATGTGACGTTACTTGGATCTTCTTGGTGGGGATCTTGTACTATAACGAAATAAACAAATAGAATTGGAATCTTAGCCAATCGAATCATTTGACTGGTTCACTAACAGATGATGCCCTATGATAGGATTTCCTTCTTTCCAAAAACTGGTCTATTCATAAATTGGAACTCAGCCTCGCCATTTTTCCACCCAACATTTTTTGCTTTTCGAAAAGAGTTGAAAAGTTATCCCGGTTTAAACATTTCCGTCATTTTTTCATGTCTCGTTTGAATGCGCAAGAGTGATTTCTTTATATTCACGAGCTTTTAAAGAGATGAGAAAATGTCCATTGTAATTTTGTAGTAAAGTGGTCAAACAAGTCACACTGTGAATATCAAATATTCGTTAATCAATTCAGTGGAGAAGCAGAAGTACGAGGAAAGTCTGTAATTTGAGATTCCGTTGAATACCTCGGAATCTTTCTACTTCGCTCTGAGTCGTAACCCTCGTCTTTGAGGGAATTTCCTTTTCTCCAGATATGCATTAAAAACTCATTCAATTCTCTCAGTTTAAATTCAATTTTAGCTATCCACTTCGCCTTAATAAGTTGAAGTAAAATTACGTATCTTTTCCGTAATTCCTGAGCGCAATGTAATTGTAGGAAATTTTACAGAACTGTCACGTAATTTAAAATGACCTAAAATCACGGAATTTTTCCAGAGCGTTCCACAATTTTTACCTGAATCTCTTGTAAAAAAATTACGATACCGTCACCTAAATTTTCTGAGTCGATTCCGTAATCGGTGAGCGAACTGTGAGTTCCGCAATTTTTACTGAACATTTCTGCGTGTAGAAATTCAGTTTTACCCTCGTCAGACTAAACCAGTATGACTCAGTCAAATAACTCATTCTGCTCCTCTATTTCTACTATTTGATATTCACCTCATAAGGCAGTTCGACGAATCTCGCTCCAAGATCTTCTAGAACCCCAAAACGATAATCTCTGTAAGCATTCATAGTGGGCACTTTCTTCGTGGTTCCGTCCTCGAGAGTAAACTTTTTGGAAGTTGTCAGATTTGCGTCAAACTTTTGCAACCAATTGCCCTTGAAGTAGACGGCATTGACGAGCACCAAACCAGTATCATTGTCAAAGTCATCTGTACGTCAAACATCACATGTATAATAATCTTATACTGAGAAAAATTCTAATATCTGAAACATATTTACTTGAGACAAGTCATTTTTCTTCATCGCTTGAAGCGAATCCCCAGAAAACAGGTTTTTCTTACGACTGACCCCATGTTTTCCGCAAGTAATATTTATAATATTTTCCAATAGTTCTTGAAATTATTCCCATGTTTTTTATTGTTAATGTTTATAATTATTTCTAGCTGTTGAAAAAAATTGTAGCTAGCTGTACTATACAGTTTAGGAGATAATAAATAGTGAAATGCGGGCTTCCGAACTCGATTTTTCTATCTCATGTTTTTAAAAAACGAATCTGTAGTAAATTTTTTGTCAAATTTTATAGTACATAGTTTCTGGGATATTCAAGGATTTAAAATTTCGTGAACGCATTTCATATTTGATTCAAACAGTTATTGTTCCCCTCGTCAACAACATATGAGAATAAAAAAAAACTCAAAAGCTTATGAGAATGCAATAAATTAAGTCACTTAGAATTTTTTCCGGAGATTCATAGGGATTAACTTTTGACTGGTATCTTCAATTATTTATCGTTTTCAAGATTTTTCAATGAATTGAATGAATCAATTGAATTGAATATGATTTTTTAAGCCATTGAAAATAATTGACTTCTCTTAAGTAAATATGGTCGTCACATCAGAAAATTTTCTCTCAATATACACCGGAACCCACACCTTCATAAAAAAATTTGATTGCCTACTGACCGGCTGAGAATAAGTCTTTAATCTTGGAATTCGTCTGCTGTTCGCACCAACTATTAATAGTTTTGCTTGCTTCCTCAGGTTCGCTATAATCAACATTTTGAACTGCCGATTTGAAAACTGATTCAGTCACTTCCATGAATTCTGGATTGACAGTAACATTTTCAGCGAGGAAAATCTTGTTCGCCAATTTCAAATCAACTTTGGCGAATTCCTATTGAAGTGGAAAAATAATGATTAAGATAATTGTCGAACATGAAGAGGTGACCAAGATGATGTGTAATGTTCGATCATTTACGTTCAAATTCTCTATGAGAGTTTTAACGCCCCTCTTTTGCACCTCTGCATCGCTGTTGAAATGTAAAACAGATTTCAGTTGCTTTTCACTATTTCCACGCGCTCCGTAAGTCAGCATTGACAGAGCCAGTGATGCACTGATCGGTGAGGCTATCAAATTATCATTCTCAGCCTTTGAAACTGCCTGGAAATGCAATTAATGAAGGAGTGTTATGTTTCAATTCCGTTGAGAAGTGTTAAGGATGTTCTGCCCCCTTTCAGCCAATTTTCTACTTTTTATAGATTTCTGATATCAATTTGTAGATTTTGTGATATCAATTTGTAGATTTCTACGAAAGAATCTACCGTTTTCGCGTTTTATCGTTATTTAATTGAATAAAATATTATTTAACATATGCATTGAAGAAATTCCCGAACAAATGTATTCAAACAGTGCAAAATCCGGAAAAGTATGAGAATGACAAGATTTCCGATAAAATGGAAATCTTGTTTGAAAGAAAGTTGCTAACTTAAACAAAGTACTTGGACGTCTTTAACCCTCGATTACTCGCGCTCGACCGTCAACCTTCATCCGTCGCGCGGTTATTCCAGCGCCGCTGTTGCCACATTGGCGCTTACCGCTATGCGCGCATTTGAAGAGTTGCAGCGAATGTAGCAACACTGTCGCTCGAGCGGTCGACCGGAACTCACTCGCACCGGGCGGCGCGGCGCCGCTTATCTGTCCGTTTGACGTTTTTTTTTAGCTGAACAAATTTCCCGAGAGAAAAATGGACAACGCCAACGATTAGTAAAAAGATTGAACTCGGAACTCTAATTTATTGAAAACTTTTAAACGTCGAACAACACGCGAAGATATAAAAAAACGAAAATGGGTGGCGCCGCGCTCATTGAGCGAGTGATCGAGGGTTGAAAGTGCCACTAATTTTGGCGCCCCAGCCGAGAAGCGAACGCGGGTCTCCCGCATGCCGGTTCTTTAGTTACTATTTACCTGATAAAATTCACTGGAAAATTTATTGACATCGCTGGCCACAGCACGCAATGCCATGTAATTTTCTAACACATCAAGGCTGTTTCCCAAAGATCCACAAATTTGTATAGCAACAAGAAGAAATATCATCATCGCCATTTCTGAAACAACAGTGCGCTTATGAAGAACCGATGAAAGGCCGATTATTGGGGGAATTTATTGCGAGCCATTCACTGAAAAAGCGCAAATTCAAGGGTTCTCTCAACGTTTATATGTATATTAGAACGGAGCACGTCTAAAACCTTCGTTAGAAAACCTGATTAAATTCAACTTGGAAAAGTGAACTTTTGGTTGATTGAACTTCTGTCAAATTGAACTTCCGTCAACAAAACCTCTCAGTTATCTTGTCTTTTGTAAGAATTGTAGTGTTGTTATTCGTTTTGTTTGGTCCATTGGGAAAGGAACCAAACAATCGTAATCGTTCAAATTTAAGTTTCAGATTTTTACAGTAACTAAAAATAGTTACTTTTAGAGTAGCTATTTTTTTTTCTTCACACTTTTTTTATTACCAAGTTATTTTGACCAAGTTTTTTGACGCAATTTTTTTAACGGAAATTTTTTGGACTTGGACACTCCGTTTTAGTGTCCAGTTCTAGAAAATTTCCATTCAAAAAACTCCGTCAACAAAACTTCGTTAAAAAATCTGGTTAAATTCAACTTGGGAAAGTGAACTTTCGTCAATAAAACCTTGTTGAGCGAATAAGCGGACAGGTGAAAACTAGCTGTTTCTGGTCTCCGATTGCCCACATAAAGAGTTAAAAGTTGTCAACCCATTATAAAGGAATAGACAATGACGACAGTGTTGTTGAACCCATTAGCAACCATTGCCATTAGCAACCGGTGACAAGTAAATAGAGGAAAATTGATGAATTATTAAAAAATGTTCTACTCACTTCCGGCTGTTCTCTTAGATCTCGCAGACTGGCGGACAGATATTCGCGAGACAACTAGAATTCGCGAAATTGGTAAATGAGATGGAAAAAATGTTGATTATAAATTCTAAAAAATTCATGATTACCGATCAAAACCAACGGTAGTACGAGGCTGGTTGTCACGCAAGTTGCGGAGATTCAGCGTCTACTGGTACCTCTCTAGTAGGCGGTCTACACGGAACTACCATAACACCTCCCACGACTCCACAATATATACGTGGGAGAGTGGTATAGTGAAGATATCATAGATTGCTGGGATGTGTTGGAGAGTCGAGGTATGTGATCGATGGATTTGATCAATATTTGAATTGTGGTATTTGCTTTAAAACATCATCATTCATTTTTTTCTTACTTTTGGGGTTTTATCGCACGTGTCTGAATAAAAATACTTTTGGAATATCGGAGATTTCCATACGGGGAAATATATATTCTGAAAATTACATATTTAATTGTAATAGCCCCTAAAATAAAAAAAAATATTTTCGCCGTATATCAACGTTTCGAGGTGTCTACAATGTTTTTCGACTATTTTTGAAAACATGTCTGTATGCGTGTGTGTGTAAAGGTGTATGTCGTCAAATTTTTCGTTCACGATTACTCAAAAACTAATGATTCAATCGAAGCGAATAATGGCGCGATCGAAGTGTCTTCGTGTAATTTAGAATGTATCAAATTTTAGACGAAATTGGTCCAGAAGTTTTACCGTTGGTTAACAAAAACCTGAAATTTTTCGTTCATAATTACTCAAAAACTAATGATGCGATCGAAGCGAGTATGGAGATAACGATTATTTTCAGTAGATTTTACTACCCAAATCTCCATTTTCGATGTCGCTGATCACAAATATGTAATCAGTTTTTCAAAATCTTATCTCGCTTTTGTGTTTGTAGTAATTGAATTGTTTCGAATCGCCTCGGCCATCATTTTAATGGACTGTTATGAATTTTTTCGCTGAAAAACATGTTTTGAAAGATTAAAAAAAGTCGTATGTTTCCGAATGAGATCAAAACCGCCCTCCACTAGCCACTCACATACTCATATTTGATATACGGAATTGGCCCGATTTATATATAAAACTTACATAAAATATTGAGTACTTCCATTATTTTACTATCAATCTTCCTAAAACGAGTGATTTTAGGGTGGATTGTTAGAAGGTTTTTCGTATTGTTAAAAAATATCCTCTGATGAGTTCTCTACAAATGATTAATTATAATTATTACATAAATAGGCAAAATTCATCAGCTCTGTAGCAAGTAGGAAATTTTTTTCTCATAGGAAAAATGAAATAGTACTGTGCGATACGTTTTCGAACTCAGTCCTAGCGTCGATGAAGGCGGCTGACCCGTATCGTATTTATCAGCAGCTGCATGCTCGTCTGTTTTTTCCCTGGTGACAAATGGTTATTTGGGCACGATATATGATGGTATACGTGAATCTCACAACAGCGAGGCCCACTTGGTAATAAATAAACTGATTTCTTCATGCGTGGGAAATAGTTTGATGATTTCAGTTGTGAAGGAATGAATGAACCGATATCAATTTCAGTCGAAAAATAAAATAATGAAAAATTGGGAAAAATTAAAAAAAAAAACGAAATTTGAAAACAAAACTTCTGTAGGACGAATCCGAGTCCCAGTCTAATTTTTCAATATGTTTTGTAAAAGTAGTCACTTTGGGTAAAGAAATAAAAAAATCTCCAATCGAAGTGGGAGAAGGGGCTACCACGCACAATTTTCTAATTTGTTGGCGATTTTAAAGCATTTCCGATTATGTGAGCTCATTGGCACCTTGCTCAATGGAAAGAACGGAAAATTTCCGTCGGAAATACTTATTGAAAACCCGATAAAAATGACCTGTGTTAAAACGCAAAATTTTGTCAAACTCAAAAATTAACGTTGTGAGAGTAAAAAAATTTGAAAAAAATTGAAACAAATTTTGTAGTCCTTTTGATTGATAAGGAAGCTATATAAGAAGCCTCAACAAAATTAAATTTTTGAGGGTACAAAACCATACCAATAATTGGCGAAAACACTCCCAGAAATTATTCAGCAACGAATTATTTTTAAAAAAATTTATTGTTCACTTTTGATTAATAATATATAAAACTATAAACAACTAATTCTATTGGATGACTATAACGTAATACCTCTCTACAAGATATAGATATTTATAAATCTTCCCAAAAAAAATCGTGAAATTCGAGCTAAAAATCTGAAATTTTGTGGAATAATTGGCATTGATTGGGAGCCCATCTGGGCGAAAAATCAGCCCAATCGGTCACACTATTTTCGAGATACAGCAATTCCTCGAAATCTTTTTGCCTCGAAATCTCAAAAACTACGCGACTGAATCGAATTTTTTGAACGTCAAAATGATAAAAAAACGAAAATAGGAATATTGATAGGAAAATGATAAATGCAGGAAAATAACTGCACGGTCATGAAATTTCGTGAGTCAATAATTAACGACAAAACGCAAAAACTATATTTTTCCACGTCAATCCGCTCCCCAATCTACCCCAAAAATTCAACAAACGTGAATTTGACGAAAAGGGTGTATACATCCTTAAAAATTCAGAGAGCCTCACCCGCCTGAATTTGTCGCCTGTCCGCGGAAACCGAAAATCTTCCTCTACCTCCTTTTCGACGTCAACTCCCCCCGAAGTTTCTCGTACCTCCGAAGTTCCCCCTGACTCACCGAAGGCACCAAACCCCGAAGTGCATCAACAAAGTCCTCCTGGAGGACCTCGACGCCCCCCTCGGGTTTTTGTCCGCCCCCACCTCTGCCCTTTTCCAAATCACTCTCATAATTCCTGATGACTCTCTTCGCTGCATTCAGCCAGGCATTTGAGCAAACCGCCTGGAGATCAGCCCCCGTCAAGTTCTCCGGCAGCTGCTCAACAATTTCCTCAAGTGCGTTATCTCCTCCCAACGAGAACCTCCTCGTAATCGCCTTCAGGACACTCAACTGTGACTCCCGATCCGAACAAATGCCCACGTACAGTAATTTATCGAACCTCCCAGGCCTCAGCAGAGCAGAATCAACGAGATCTGGCCTGTTGGTGGCACCAACGATGAAGGTCCTGCTGCAACTCCCAAGCCCATCCATCTCCGCAAGCAATTGGGAGACAACTCGGTCCATCACCCCCGCACTATCTCCACTGCGGCCTCGATTCGGCGCCAGTGCGTCCAGTTCGTCGAAGAAAATAATGCACGGCGACGCACTTTTCGCCTTCTCGAAGACATCCCTGACGTTCTTCTCACTCTGTCCAACGTACATATTCAGTAATTCCGGTCCTTTCACAGACAGGAAGTTGAGCTTGCATTCTGTAGCAACAGCTTTCGCCAGAAGAGTCTTTCCGGTCCCCGGTGGCCCATAAAGGAGAATCCCAGAGCTCTCAATTCCAGAATTTTGCATCAATGGAACTTCGATCCTCCGAATGATCTCGTGCTTGAGACTCGCGAGGCCACCGATGTCCTCCCAGTGGACCTCGGGGACTCTGGGGGCTCCGATTTCGTCCGAGAAGATCGACTGCATCGATTTGTACGACTGGGTGAAGTCCTCTTCCTTCAGACTGATTATTGGGGCTCTTGACTGCTTGTAGCGATTTTTCACTGCTGTTTGAGTCAACGATTGCAAGTCGCTCATGAGGAAGTCTGAACACATCGCTGAGATTTTCGAGATGTCGACGCTCGAGTGCTCGATCCTCTGAGTTTTTAGGAACCAGTTTATCAAGTTGGTGCGCTCATCCTGGGTTAAACAGTCTATTTTGATTTTTTCGATGAAATTTCGGTTGAGTTCTGAGGGAAGTTCGGTGGATTCAGAGGTGGCTATGATGATGAGAGGGTGAGGGGATTTGTTTGAATATTGCTCTGCGAGCTGGTGGGAGAAATTCGAAGTGACTCGATCGTCGATTTTCCCCTCGGGGTTTTTCCCCAGGATTTGAATGCTGGAGAGTTTTAGGATACAGGGAACGCATTTTTCGGCGTTGGTAAAGGTGATCCGGAGTTTTGCTTCGGTTTGAGAGGGGGAGAGGGTTCGAATTTCGCTGCAATCGACGTTTAAGAAGTTCAGGCCGAGTCGCTTGGACAGAGCGTTAATGAGGTGGTATTTCCCACAGCCCTGGGGCCCCTCTACGAGGAAGACTGGCTTCAATCCTAGCCAATTGTCTGCAATGGAATGAATCATATTTTTCAAGTCAGTAGCGAAGCGGTAAACCGGGTCAAGTCGATTTTTACTTTTGGCCATTTTTTGATGAATTTCTCGGAATCTAAGAGAGATAGCAAAATTTTGCTCATGACCTTTTTTATTACCCTCAGTTTGCTCTACAAAAAAGGTCTTGACAAAAATTTTTGTGTCTCTTTTAGATTCCGAGATATTCGTCAAAAACTTGCCAACAGTTGAAATCGACGTAAACCGGTTTACCGCTTCGCTCCTGAAATATTGACATTGGGCATTCATGTCATAAAGTTGGTGAGTAAAAATTGATAAATGCAAATGCAGATGTCCTAAAACTCGTGACTGGAAGGTGGAGGAATGAAAGAGGGGGAAATTCTCAAGTAGAAGTTGCATTTTGATCGTTGACTCCAGGTGATAGTTAACGAGTTATTTATCGGTAAAGTCCAAAAAATGACAATTTCGGTGTGGGACAGGACTGCAAAGCAGACATCAGCATAATCGAAATTTTGAATTACAGTTAAATTTGGAATAAGTCAATTGTTGATGATACTCACCATTTTTTTTTATTTTAAAAATAACCATCAACTTAAATTTTCAAATTCCGAATTATTTTGTCAACCAACGATTGAGGAATTAAATTACCAATTATTATATTATTTTTCAAATTTCAATTACGGTACCTCATCCAAATCCCATCCAAACATTTCCTATGACGTCACAAAAATGTGGAACGCTATGTAAATTCCCTTCTTTAATGTGAAAATGGCTACAACAAATTATGTTCTGCGTGTGTAGAAAGTTGGCAATCACCTGATGTTATAAACGGCAAAATACACGACTCCAATTCTCGCAGATATTTTTTCAGAAATCCTGGGCAATTGTCAAGAGATCCCCTCTGAAATTCCCCCTCAATGGTTGGATTTTTGAGGCCCTGCACCGACAATTTGAAATTCCGAGGAAGATACTGGTGAATTTCTCCTTCTTGAATCAATGTCGACTCTGTTTGGCAAACATAAGCAGGTTCCAATGTTTTGTTCCCGTCGATTGCTATGGAAGTCACTCTGAAGTGCAGCAGTCTCAGTTGAGGGGATGGGAGACTGTAGTAAAGCCCTGGACTGCATTCCTTGACGTCAACGGTGATCACATCATTTTTGCGGAGATATTTCGGATTGGAGAAATAATTCTTCAAGACAGTGTCGATCAAGTCACTAGGGCAATCGTAAGGATTTGATATCATGGATATTTTCACCTCGTTGGCGAATTGTTGGGGCTCGCCACCTGCGGGTACTGAAAGTTTGAGAAAAATGGTAATTATCATTTTTTATCAAAATTGACACATTTAAACTATTTGACCATTATTATACGTGATGTTAGCATTATTGATAATATTAAATTCCTTATGGTATCAGAGTTTTCGCATGAATTTTCTCGCAAACTTTACAAGACACGGAGAGAAAAAAATTAAAATTTTTGTAGTGAAATTCTGGGAAAATTCCGATTGCGCCGCATAATCGAGGAATAAAATTTCGGAAATTATGAAAAATATGACGTAGCTACTACATCGTAGCATATTAATCCTCGATCACTCGCGCTCGGCCGCCAGCCTTCATCCGTCGCACGGTTAGTCCAGCGCCGCTGTTGCCACATTGGCGCTTACCGCTATGCGCCTATTTGGAGAGTTGCAGCGAATGTTGCAACACTGTGGTCCGAGGGGTCGACAAAAACGCACGCGCAGTGGGCGGTGCGGCGCCACTTTTCTATCCGGTCGACGTTTCTTTTATTTTTTTAGGTAAACAAATTTCTCGAGGAAAAAACGGACCACGCCAACGCTTACTAAAAGGATTGAACTAGGAACTCTAATTTTTTCAGAATTTTTAAGCGTCGAGAAACGCTAAAATATAAAAAAACGAAAACGGGTGGCGCCGCGCTCATTAAGCGATTGACGGAGGGTCAAACTTTTTACGGGGGCACATGAAAATTTACTACGTCAATGAAGAAAAACTTGTTCGAGAACTCTCCTGCTTTTCTCTCAGTGCAAATCATGGGAAATTCCTAAGTTTTATGGATTTCAGCATGTTTTAGGTGTGCAGGCTATTTTTTCGCGGTCTCTGACTTCCGCCTATCTGCAGAATGAAATTCTGTCAATTACCAGGCAAATGAAAATTGTAAATTCATGTTTTCATTGAAAATTCACCAAAATAATAGTCTCGGTAACAAAATTACTTGACACTTTCATGAAAAATTAACCGTTGGCACTCGAAATTCAATATAAAATCTCATATTTATTTGATACCAATATAATTCAGTAGCAAAGTGATAAAACGGTTTAAGTCGAATTATCTCTTAGTTGAGTTTTTGGAGAATATCTCCGAATCTATAGGAGATAATGAAATTTTCGTAATGACCTTTTTTCTAGAGCAAATTGAGTGCTGAAAGAAAGGTCCAGACAAAAATTCAGCCATCTCCCTTAGATTCCGAGATATTCACTAAAAACTGGCCAATTATCAAAATCGACTTAAACCGCTTTACCACTTCGCTACTGAATTGTAAACTACTCTATCAAAACAGAAACATTCAGTAAAAAAAATTCAAACTCACATATAAAATATGTCGAACCGTCCTCACAGCGCAGCGCATTTCCAACATTAAACAACATAGTTTCCGATACATAAACCACCCCCTCATCCCCCTGAGTCGCCAAAAATCTAGTTCTGAATTTCCTCCCAGACCCCTCACAACAAATATTCACCCAACTTCCCCGAAACCCCCCACCCGCCACCGCACAACAAGCACCATCAACATACCCCCCACACCCCCCAAAAATCCTCCGCACAATCCTTTTAAAAACATCGTCCGGCAGAGCTAGAATCTCCACTCCAATATTTTTAAACTTCCTGAACTTCAACAGCGCATAATGTACAAACACAACCGCAAGTACATAATAATTATTATTCCTCATTAAACCACGCGTTGACTCCCTCAGAAGCTCCACAAACCGAAGATTAGAACTCGTCATTACCATTGAGAAAAATAAATCCTCAAATGCGATTCATCGGAAACTCAATAACAAAAAATAACAAAAAACGACGAATTTCCTGCTTTTTACCCCTGACGTCAACCAGGTACTCGGTAACCTAACTCTGCAACGTCGTGGTCCAAACAAAACTACATGAAAAACGATTCGAAAATAGGAGTTTTTGTATTAGAAATGATGAAAACACTCCGAGGAATCGAACTGCGAAGCCCCTTTTTTGATAATTACTCCGTTTTTCTAAAAATCCATAAAAATGATTCGATCAAGGTGACGAGATTGAACCGTAATTCCCTAGCAAGCAAAAACGAAAATGGATTGGTAGCATTGAAATTTCATTCGTTCGAGCCCATATGACTTTGACAGTCTGCCCGATTGAGCACCACTGTGTCTCCACAATGGCGTGAAGCGCTCGAGATTTCGACTAATCCGATTTGTTGCTATAGTAACACCGAAAAATGTTCAATTCCGCGACCAAAAATTCTACGCATTCCATGAAGATATCCCTCTGATTGTCATCAGTGTTTATTCGAGAATTAGAACGCAACAGCGCGGATTTTTGATTTTTTAGTCGCGAGTTTTTACGGTTTTTCGAGAGGAGCCCAAAGTCGCAGGATCGATGGAGGATTTGAAATGAGAAACTGTACGCAAAGGTGGAGACAGTTGGAGACATAAAACCGTTGATGGCTTGATAGCCGTTAAGTGTAGACATAACCTAGTTGAATAGCGTCGTATTGCTTATTGTTCTCGACTGTTTTCCGGGGTTTATGACGATTTATCTGTGGTTACTGTCAGCACAGGTATTATGGTAATTATTGGTGAGTAGTTTTGTGATTTGTCGATGGGGTTTTTGAGGCTTGGGGGGAGTTTCGGAGCATTTCGGTTCGTGGAACAACCCTGACCCTACTTTGCATTTTTGTCGGTTCAGGGGTAAAATTTTCCATTATTTATGCCATTTTTGTCGATCCAAGTCATGCCATAGTGGATAATTATGAGTTTTCCGAGCTTCAAGTTTTACTCGGCCGAGATCGGACATTATTTTTCACACGAAATTGTGGAGTACTGTGATAATAACAATAGTAATGGTTGAGTTTCTTTGGTTCAGTCGTTTATTTTGATTTATTTGTTGTGATGTGGAGTCTTGTTTTTTCGTTAGATTTGGTTTTGTTTTGGAGGAGAATGTGAAATTTATTAGGTAATTGGATACTAGATTGAATTTTGGAAATCGTCGGATCGTTGGCTGTTATGATTTTCTGGGGGAAAGCCTAAACATGAAATATTTTGGGAATTTAGATGATATTCAAGTTATTTTTATATTTTATTTTCATTTTTTATATTCGAGTTATTTTTATACTTTGGCGTGAATTATGTGTATCTGGATTCTTTAATTTTTTCACTTTTATAGGGTCACAAAGGGTTTCCAAGTATTTGCAACGTTAATTTGTTGAAAATTTGTTTTTTATGCTCTGGATTCGTCAGAGATTGCGGAGATTAGATTTTTTCTTTTTACAATTTACTGATGAAATTTTTTTTCGTCTACCAACCGAAATTTTCGACATTTCGAGTTTTTATTGGGGAGAATATACAGAATAGTTTCCACACAAAATTGTGGTGTGTTTTTTGATTCAGCCGTTTATTTTGATTTATTTGTTGTGATGTGGAGTCTTGTTTTTTCGTTAGGTTTGGTTTCGTTTTAGAGGAGAATGTGAAATTTATTAGGTAATTGGATACTAGATGGAATTTTGGAAATCGTGGGATCGTTGGCTGTTATGATTTTCTGGGGGAAAGCCTAAACATGAAATATTTTGGGAATTTAGATGATATTCAAGTTATTTTTATATTTTATTTTCATTTTTTATATTCGAGTTATTTTTATACTTTGGCGTGAATTATGTGTATCTGGATTCTTTAATTTTTTCACTTTTATAGGGTCACAAAGGGTTTCCAAGTATTTGCAACGTTAATTTGTTGAAAATTTGTTTTTTATGCTCTGGATTCGTCAGAGATTTCGGAGATTAGATTTTTTCTTTTTACAATTTACTGATGAAATTTTTTTTCGTCTACCAACCGAAATTTTCGAAATTTCGAGTTTTTATTGGGGAGAATATACAGAATAGTTTCCACACAAAATTGTGGAGTGTTTTTTGATTCAGTCGTTTATTTTGATTTATTTGTTGTGATGTGGAGTCTTGTTTTTTCGTTAGATTTGGTTTTGTTTTGGAGGAGAATGTGAAATTTATTAGGTAATTGGATACTAGATTGAATTTTGGAAATCGTGGGATCGTTGGCTGTTATGATTTTCTGGGGGAAAGCCTAAACATGAAATATTTTGGGAATTTAGATGATATTCAAGTTATTTTTATATTTTATTTTCATTTTTTATATTCGAGTTATTTTTATACTTTGGCGTGAATTATGTGTATCTAGATTCTTTAATTTTTTCACTTTTATAGGGTAACTAAGAAATAGGGTTAAAAATCCATGTTTTTTATGCTCCCAATTATCCAGAGATTTCGGAAGACATTAGAGTTTTTCGTTTTACAATTGACTGGTGAACTCTTCTTCTTCTTTTTCGTCTAAGACAATGTAGAAAAAAAACATTGGAGAATTCAAATCTCAAGAAAGCTCATTCATTCGTGTTTCATAATTTCCATTCTCATTTAAAAATATAGAACCGACCGAAATTTTCGAGATCTCGAGTTTTCATTGGGGAAATTTTACTGTGCAGGAGAATACTTTTGCATCCGCGGCTGTTTTTTTTACCGAACGAGTCGTAAAATATCCTGCACAAACAGGTATTTTTTCATTGAATTACATTTCGTTCCACGATTACCTTTTGCACAGTAAAATGTGCCAGAATTTTCAAGGTAATTTAATATAATATATGATATAATTTAGGTATTTTATCCAACTTTTCTCCCCACGAAGAAAATATCCGTGAAATTTAAGTTATTGTTCTATGTTATACTTGGAGAGAATTGGATTAATTCTTTAATAATGTCCTACGTACATCTCAACAACAGAAAATCCACAATCAAAACACTGAAACAATATATTGACGATTCATTACTGAAGTAAATGCGATCCTAACGCTCGAGAATCGAAATACAAACCCACGTCTTCATTTCTCATAATTTTAATGCCAGCTTTTCCCCCTTAATTCATTTACGTATCGCATTATTATTGAATGCAGAATTCAATTCAATTCAAGGCCTGAAACACGTCGATTCAGGTATGAAGTTCGTGTTGATGCGACAATTATCTGAAAAACAAATAGTTTTTCAAATAGCAGTCCACACTATTCGAATAGATTTTATAAATAATAAATCGAGAAGTTTATGAGACTCTTTAAGTCCCCTCAAATTATTTGATCCTCTACCGCAGTGATGGTATTCAAAAATTTCCAGATAGTTATAATGAAGGAAACTTTGGTAATGAGATAGAATTGATTATAATCCTCTTTCTTCTTCCAAAGAAACTTCCGATCGCTACTGCATCGGGATCGCATTCCCCGTTTGTTTAAGCGAATGAATACAATACTTTTTGCAGCTGAAAGTTCAAATCAGGGCTAAACGGGGAAGAGGCGAAACGTATGAGTGTAATCCCATAGCGAAGTGGTAAGTCGGTATAAGTCGATTTTGACTATTGGCCAGTTTTCAATAAATATCTCGGAATCTAAGGGAAATAGCGAAATTGTTGTGATTTCCTTTTTCGTAGCTCTCAATTTGCTCTACAAAAAAGGTTATGACAAAAATTTGGCTATTTCCCTTAGATTTTGAGATATTCATTAAAAACTGCGCAATGGTCAAAATCGACTTTTACCGGTTTAACCTTCACTACTGAATCTTTTGTTAATTTTTTTTCTTCGGACATAAATAATTGTTATGAACATTTTTTCATACAAATTTCGCCTGTTAATCCTCGATTATCGAACTAACAAAAATATGGCATTAATTATGAATAATTGCTGCTAATTATTTTTCTATGAATTCCCCCAGTGAATAAATTAGAAGAAATTGTCGAATTAACAAAAATATGGCATTCATTATGAATAATTGCTGCTAATTATTTTTCTATGAATTCCCCCAGTGAATAAATTAGAAGAAATTGTCGAATTAACAAAAATATGGCATTCATTATGAATAATTGCTGCTAATTATTTTTCTATGAATTCCCCCAGTGAATAAATTAGAAGAAATTGTTGGTTTCATGGATTTATCGGGGCGAAAAAAATGAAAAACGTTTTTTTTAGATTTATCAATAAGTCCACAGACCGACGGTTCGGTGTGAAGATTAAAGGAATTAGTTAACAATGATGCCTGATAATTAAAATTGGACTGCGTAATTTCAACACTGCCTAAAGAATCCGTCATTATTAATTTCAATGTTTGATTATCAGGTAAAATTGGGTCGAAATAATTGGCAACTGAACCAAAAGAAAACACCAGCATGGATCCAGCCTCAGTCATAACACTCTGCAAGGAGAACATTCAACCACTGAGACATGGAAGAAATGCAACACAACTTGGGACAGCTCTGCGAGCACAGGAAGACGCTGAAGCCCAGCAATTGCTCCTCCAAGAGAAACAAAAATACGAGGATGCGATAAAAAATTACGAAGGTGACGATCCACTGGAAATGTGGTATGAATACATTCTATGGGTTGAACAGAGCTATCCAAAGAGTGGACATGAGTCCCACATTGGTAAACTACTGCAGCAGTGTTTGGCTGCTTTTGAGAAGGAAACCAAATATCATCAAGATCGTAGATACATTAGGTTATGGATTAATTATATAAGTATGCAGAAAAATCCCTTAGAACTCTACCAACTCCTCTACAACAACGGCATCGGTACAATGGTGGCAGACATGTACCGAGCCTGGGCATTCGAGCTGGAGCAAGTGAACGATAACAAACGAGCGGACGAAGTCTACGACCTCGGTATAAGAGCGAGAGCAGAGCCCCGCGACGAGCTGACCCACGCCCACGCAAATTTCCAATTCGCCGTTGCTCGCAAGACCCTTGGGCGAATGGAGGAGCGCAACGAGATGTCACTCCTGGAGCAACGCCAGGCCTTCTCCTCCCTGCGAGCCATAAAATCCGGTAGACGTGCGACCCACGTGAGAACAGGCCAACGCGTGAGAGATTACCAGCCAGGAGTTGTTCCTCAAAGCTCTCAAGTGCAAATTGGCAAGGGGAACACAAAAATCCAGATCTACCAGGACGAGCCTGAACCTCTGGAGTCGCGAGGAGCGAGTATCCTGGATCATGTACCAATCGAGGAAACTGTGCACAAAGAAAATACAATAAAAGCTGGACCGTGGAGCAATGCCGCTAGAAAACATCCCCTCATTCCACCGACAGCAAAAACCTCATTCAAAATTCACGAGGACAGAGCTGACGATAATTTCGACATGGAGAAACTGCATTTGTACCCAAATCACGTGACATTCTTCGATGGCAGTAACTACTCAGAGCACAAGACAGTACCAGTTTTCGTCCCCGAGCAGCCATCAGCAATGATGACAAAAACATTTTATCCCAAAGATTTAGTTTACGCGAATAATATGGATCGTAGTATGGAGGAGATACGTGCTGAGCGTTACTTCAAGCAGAGGAGAATGCAGGAGAAGATGTATTACGGAAATTCCGAGGGTTTGATGAATGGACGAAGTATGCAGACACCCGACATGGAGAGAAGGAACTTTGGGGACGAGGAGATTGAGAGGTTAAAGTTTGAGGCGGAGCAAAAGCGTGAGAAAGAGAGACTTGAGGCTGAACAGAGGGAGATGGAGAGGAGGCAGGCTGAGCAGATGGAGATGGAACGACTGAGGAGAGAGGAAATTGAGAGGCAGAGAAGAGAGGAAATTGAGCGACAGAGGAGGGAGGAGATGGAGCGCCAGAGGAGAGAGGAAATCGAGAGGCAGAGGAGAGAGGAGATGGAGCGCCAGAGGCGAGAGGAGATGGAGCGTCAGAGGCAGGAGGAGATGGAGCGTCAGAGGCAGGAGGAGATGGAGCGTCAGAGACGCGAGGAAATCGAGAGGCAGAGAATTGAAGCTGAGAGAATCGAGGCCGAGAGAATCGAGAGCCAGAGAATGGAAGCTGAACTGAGTGGACAACGAAAGCTCCCCCAAAACTATCTCCACCACGCGTCAGCCAACAGCAGCCTGGACCCCTCGATGGAGCACCTCCTTGGGCAGAGCATAACCGTGAATACGAAAGAGGCAATGTCAGTGGTTCAGGACCTCTGGCATTCGCCGAACGAAACCGCCTCGCCCATCGTTCCCACTCCAATGCAGCACAGAATGCCCGACTCTAGAGCCAAATTCAGCTTCGACATCCACATGGACAGCTCCATGACCCAGAATGTCGCCATGTCCTCCAGCAAACACCACAACAGCTACATCCCACCATATCACGATCAGGAGAATCAGTTTGCCGCTGGTTTCTCACAGAGTCATCACCAATCATTTCGTAATCATGGTATACCTGATCCTTACCAGTACCAGGCGCATCAGGTGCAGATGCAATCCCCTGGTATACCCCCAATGCACATGATGCAGTCCCCCCAAATTCATCATTCAGTTCAGCATCATTATTCCCAGCAGATCCAGTCACCACAAATACCACATCATCAGTCAGCTCACATGCACAGTCTGCAGAGTCCTCATCAGCACCATCAGCCACAGCATCATCAGCATCATCAGCCTCACCAGCCTCAGCAACACCACCAATCCCCAGTGATGCACCACATGTACAACAACATGGATCAGAGCAATGTCAGGTACAGCATGCAACAACATCAGCAGCAACAACAGCAGCAGCAACAGCAGCAGCAGCAACAGTACCCCATTATGCAGTCACCTCCCCAGCCCCAGGACCACATTGACCCTCGCAAGCAGATGCCATTCCCACCTTTCGTCGATCCCCAGGGTGAGGGCAAATCCTACAGAATGCCAGAACTGCCTTACATCAAGTCACCAGGTATGAACAGACGTGATCTCAAGTACTTGGACAGCACAGACAACAAGGAGAATGCCGCTGCTGCTGGATACAACAGTGGAATGGAGGACAATAAACAAGAGAATTTGTTCATCGACGAGAGCCTGGGAATAGCTCCATTGAATGGAGTCGACGATACTTGCTTCACCGATGGCTTCAGTGGACCACTGACCAGCTCGACTCCCATGACTAATCAGTTTAGACCGTCGACCTGCAGAACGAAGGATGTGCCCCAGTATCAAGTGCCTCAGGTGCATGTGAATCCAGTGGTGATACCGGAAATTCAAACCAGTGAACCTGATGAAAAGCTCAGTGTTATCATGGAATCTACCAGGGAGTATATTTCCAGCAGCTCTGGGAGCAGTGTGAGAACTGGGGGCTTTGGCTTCGCAACTCGTGAAGATCTTGGGGCCATTCAGGAGCAGTCGACCCAGGAGATTGACACCACTGAAGCACTTTTGGCGAATCATAACTCGTGCGATCAGTCGTTGAGGGCTAAGATTCAGGTTGTTGATGCACAGAGCCCCAGGACTGTGCAGAGGAATGTCGATCAGATAACCTCGGAGATTAATCACTGCGATTTGAGGAAACCACTGAATCTCGATGGTGAGGGGAACAACGAGAAGAAGAATGAGGGGAAGATGGAGTGCTCGTTCAATGAGCCGATGGAGGAGATCGAGGAGGAGGAGTTTGTGCTGCCCACTGGGGACATTAATCCGTTTGACAAGGCTCTCATTTCTGGGCTGCTGAGGAAGATCAAGTTTCCACAGGCTCATCATTCTAATGGCTATCACAGGATGAACATGAATTTGAATAAGATGCAGCCCTCGAGTGTTGTTAATTTGGGGAGTGATACGTATGTGTTGGAGAAGACACTTGGGAAGGGGACTTACGGGACTGTTATGAAGGCATTGAGCATTCAGACTGATCAAGCTGTGGCTTTGAAGACTCAGAGGCCAGCGTGGGTCTGGGAGTACTACATTGCGCGTGAGATTAAAGCGAGAATTACCAATCCTCACATGCTGCGGGGTTTCATGGACATTTCGAAGGCTTATGTGACTAATAATGCCAGTGTTTTAGTCTCAGAATACTCGAAGTATGGGACATTGCTGAGTGTTACGAATCAGGTGAAGGTCGCCACTGGTAAACCACTCACTGAGGCACTCTCTATAACTTTTACATTGGAAATGCTGCAAATTGTCGAGTACCTGCACAAATGCCAAATCATTCATGGTGATATTAAGCCTGATAATTTCCTTCTCATGCATCTACCGACTGAGGATGTTAGACCTACGATACAATTGATTGACTTTGGATGCAGCATTGACATGAGTTTATTCCCAGAGGGAACTAAATTCACGCAGATGATTAAGACGGAGGACTTCACCTGCATTGAAATGCAAACGGGGAGACCCTGGACTTATCAGACCGATCTTTATTGTTTAGCTGCATCTGCACACTGTTTGCTTCTGGGGAATTATATGAAGGTTATTCATACTGGGGAAAAGTGGTTTATCACAGCGAAAATGCCGAGGTGAGTGAAGTTTATTATCAGGGTTTGATCGTTTTAAAAGAATTGGGGGCGAATGATATTTTTAATTAATTGGTCGTTTGTGAAAAAATCAATGCCATTTTACAACTAGTGCGTTCACTGAGAGAACAGAAAAACGTGAACAAATATTCTCGAAAAAGACTCAATTGAGTAAACAAAAATGCAAATTAAAAATAGCGAAAATAGAAATTCTTTAATTTGAAAATATTTGTAAAAAATCAAATACCATTTTACAATTAGTACGTATATTGAGAAAATAAACAGACATGTTCTCGAGCAAGACTTATTTGAGTACAAAAATTACAAATTAAAAATTACGAAAACAGAAATTATTTCATTTGAAAATATTCGACTCGAAAGAGGAATCGAAAGTGTCTATCATAAAGTGAAGTCAGTTAATAAATATTTTGTTAATAAGTTCTGTAACTTATTACAGGATTACTATCCCAATTTGACATTTTTTTGCTACTTTTTGGGATTGTACCATTAATTTTTAGGGACAATGAACAATGAATATAGAAAAATCTTTCACGCAATTATTGAAATATCTTCGAGAATATCAATCATTCAGAAAAATGGCAATTCCTCCAAAATGTTCTCTATGAATTTTCATAAATTCCTCCCATTCAAAGGCATTCATTTACAAATAAACTTGCAAACTCTCAAAATTGTGAACCCATTAATTCCAGATACGTCAAGAGAGCAGCGTGGGAGACATTCTTCACCGAACTCTTGAACATTGAATCATGTGACAAAATGCCAGATCTGAGTGCTCTGCGCAGTCTGATGGAAGAGGCATTAGCTAACACACCGAATCACGACTTGCAGTTCCGAAATTTCGCCAATGTTTTGAATGGCCGATAACGCTTACATATTTTTCCAGCCAAGAGTAAAAGCAAAGCGAGACGAAAAAGGCGGAAAAATTGATGAAAGGAATATAAATTAAGTGGACTGTGCACGTACCTTGTGACGAGGGAATAATTCATGTACAATGGGGAGTTATGATTACTATGATTATCGTGCTATTTATTATCAATGGAACATCTATTACGATGGTATATACAGTCTAGTTATTTTCAAATGGAGATAATTCTTCAGCAGGTTCGTGCATACTCGGATATTTACATTTTTTAATGAAAAAATATTTATCCTGCGATTTAAATTTTCTGAGCTAAACTCATCAACAATTTTCGATAAATTTTCAACTTCAGTCTTTTTTTTGCGTAAAAAATAAATACGATGGATGAGATCTTCATGTAACTTTTTTCCAACATCCACAGAACCAATTTTATCTCATGTTATACAATAGTACACTATCAATGCTAAACTAAAAGAAATGAATAAATAGAAACAAATGTTTTTTTTTTCATGATCCATCGTTGGATTTTATAAGAAAAATTAAATTTACATGCTGAAAGATTAAATAATTGAATTAATACAATGAGTGACAAGAAAAAAATATAAAATATTAGTTGGGAATATGCCTTATCTTACTTTGACAGTGCAACGAAGATGAGTATTTTCTAATTAATTAGGTATTTTTTAATTGGGGGAAAAAGCGGGCTTTACCTATTGAATGTCACAAAACTCATGAAAAGAATTCAAAACTCAAATATTCAGACTATTCTACGCTGTATTTTTAATATTTTTATTCAACTCATTTTATCGTTCTTCATGCGCCTGGACTTGCTCGATGGCCAGTAGCATTTAATGAATTTAAAGGAAAAATCTTGATATTATCTGCGTTGCACTGTCACAAAAGTGAGTATACTGACTTCTCATGTTATAATAGTTATTAAGAAACATTGTATTATTAAAATATGAAATCTTATAAATATAGATATTTACAATAATTCACATTCACAAATTGATTCAATCTTCACATATTTTTTAAAAAAATTACAAAAATACATAATATCAAATAAACCCCCTAGAATTTACGTTTTCCCATAGAATTTTCTATTGAGCAAGTACAGCAGCAGATTAACATTGATCTTCGCCTTTCCGAACATATCCATAATAGGAGCCCCCTCAAACTGCAACTCGAGTAAGTTCTGAATGTCAATCTCAATTTTCTCCATCTCCACCCCCATGAACTTCCCCTTGATCGTGAAAATTCCGTTCTGCTCAGTAGGTGTGATCTCAAAAATAACATTTTTAAATTGTGACTGTGACAGTCCAACGATCTCCAACAAAACCCCCTTCTCAGCGAGTTTAGCTGCTGAATATTTCAAAGTAGCTTTAGACCTCAATTTCCCATGATTACTCTTCTGCGTGACCTTGACTGCTCGCATGGAGCCCCTCCCAGTGTGGAGATTCTCCAGACATCGTTGAGTGTATTCATTGTAATACTCCACCTGCTCAGCGTAATATTTCGTCTTCTCCTGGAGTCGTTGTCTGGTCAACCTCAGTGTCTGCAGCTCTCTGTTCCTCATCGCTCGGTACTTTCCCTTATTGCAGAGGTCTTTGGCAACAGCTGTCACGATACTCTGATAGCCATCAGCCCTAGACACCCAGCCCCCTTGTTCGAGCTTCAGTAGATACGCTCTCAACTGATGTCTGCAGTCATTCAGGGACGAACTCCCTTTGCCCATATTCATGTTCGTTGATGGTGAGATTGATGAGTACTTGGCATCGTACAATTTCTCCTGCACTGGGGATGGACAGGGAGCCTCGAGAGCAGCCACGAGAGTGTCCCCTTTGAGAAATTGCAACACTGACACCAACAATTCCTTAGTTTTAATGAACAGCTTCTGGAGACTCTGATCATCAGTATCAGGAACCTCAAATCTGTTCGTCAGAACGAGACACACCTCTGTCTTCCCCATTCGTGTCAAGGTAGCTTCACAAACTGGCTCAGTTATCCCCATCAACGAAGCAACAGTGGGTGCTGCCTCGAGATCATCCAACAGCTCGTGGAGTGGATCCATCGGATCCGGAGCTATCTCGTACTGATACTCAAGCACGAGACTGTGAGTGTCGCAGATCTCTTGAACAGATATATAAATCTCTGGTTTGTGAATGAGAGTGGCCTCTGTGTACTCATGAATGCTGAAGTGCTCGTCCAGCGCTGGTATCTGACAGCAGGACCTGAAGAACTTCTTGAACCTCTCGTGACAGTCGATGATGAAGGGATTGAGGCACATGAGGTGTGTCGCCTCGTCCCCAAATCCCTTTTTGGAGGCTGCGAACTGCAGAATTTTCGCGATACTAGCTAAATTCCTCCTCTGATCGTTTGACAGTGAGCGATCCACTGGTAATGTGACAATGTCAAAGGCATCAGGTGCCACAATGGCAGCATTAATGTAGTGATAGTAAATCAAATTGCCCACGACCTTGAGGATGTCCTTCTCGGGGGCTTGAGGAAACTTCTCAGCAAGAGTGTCGTACAGCACCTTCGACATGTAGAGCATTCCATAAGGGATTATGTCCCTCGACTCTGTTATTCGATTGAGGAATTCCATCACCATGTCCTTGAGGGTTTCAATGCCCCGATGCAATCTCTGACGCACTTGATCGTTGTTCAGGGCCTGCTGGTGGTTCACAGAATAGGGGAGATCTAGGGTCTCCCCTTTCTCCATCTCCAGCTGGTTCCTCCAGCTCTTGTAGATGTCCACTGGGTTCGTCTCGATGTTTACAGATCTGTCTGACAAGACTCTCTCAATCACCGGTCCCAGGATCTGACGGAGGGCTCGACCGTTTAACTGTCGAGCATAATGGACGACCATTTTCAGGACCAGAGGATTTCCAGTGACCACTTCTGACGGCTTCTGAAATTTCGATCTTATTTCCTCCTGCAGAGCCCTGCCAAAGAGCTTGAGGAGAAGATACTCCTCCCTGATGTTAGAACCGAAGTTGTAGAGGGTCAGAATGACATTCTGCAGGAACTTATTCGTCTTACTCTGGGGTATCAGGAACAATAGCTTCGACAAGTACTCCGGGTTTGTTTGCAAAGCGTAGAACAAGTGCTGATAGCCCTCCAGCATCTTTCTCCCCTCCTTCGTCAGGGATTTCAGACCCTTGTGGCTGCTCAAATTTTCGGAGATTGAGTTCTTTCGTGATCGATGCTGGTGCTTCTCCTTAGCGAGCGTCTCCAGACTCTTCCCATGCGCTATGACATCCTGCAGCGTTATCCTGTTCTGGATGAGCAGCCCAATCTTGATGTCCATGCTGTCCAACTGCTGTGACAAATTCTGATTGTACCTTATCGTCTGCACAACGTCGTTCTTCAGCTGCTGCAGCTGCAGATCCTTGTCGTAATCCTCGGCGTTGAAGTTGAGAATGGCTGAGAAGTGTCTGACAACTGGAAACGGGGGCTTCTCCATCCTCAGGAGTGAGAGGAAGGCTCTTCGAGCTGATCTGCCCCTCCAGAACGCCTGGATCTTGACGATCTTGTCCTCGTGCTGACGATAATAATCGTTACGATCTCGTTGTCTCTTCAGCCTTCCTCTTGCATCCCTGATCCTCTCCACGAGCTTCTTCCTGTACGATCGACGGTGCAGGACTCCCCTCCACCAGGCCTGAATCTTGACAATTTTTTGAACATTATCGTGGAAGTACTCGAGACGATTTGCGATTCTCTGGCGCACCAAATACCCTCGAATCAGCGCCTGAAGGTGAATTATCAGTTTCTCGTTGAACCTCCCTGACGGTATGTTGTACTCCTCCACAGTTATCGTCCTGATGATGTCCTCAATGTCCTCTTTAGTCACGAAGTGGCTCTCGGAGATGGTTTTGGGCTTGTCCCACGTGTAGTTGAACTTCTCCAGGTCCAGGAATGACTCGATCTTCGTGGGGGTGACGTAGCGAACGAAAGGGCACTTGTACTGGCTCTCCTTGTAGCCCCTGAGGGCCTTCAACGCCTGGAAGTACCTCTGCTTGTACTGTTCGGAGACCTTGAGCCCAGTCTTCTCCAGACTCGCTATCGTCCCGTTGAAGTCATTCAGCTTGAGGTTCTTGTTGATTTCCCACAGAACGTGGCAGGCGTGCTGCACCTGTTGAGCCTCTGCTGCCACTGCCTGGGCAACGTTTTCAATATCGTCGAGCCAGAGCTCAGAGCCATCTCTGTGGTTCTCGTTGAGGCAACGTTTGAACAGCACCAGGTACAGAGAGGCGTCCACACGAGAGATTGGGGTCTTCAATTTTAGGGAGGGGTTGGTCAGGGCCTCCATCACCCCACTGCGATTGTTAGTGCTCACAGCCAGGTTCAAGTCCCTCAGGATGTTGATGGCCTCGTTTGCATTCCTGCATCGCAGGTTGACGAGATCTACGCAGTCCTGAATGTCGACGTAAGCCAGGAGGGGACAGTCCTCGATGTCGTTTTTGTGGTCAGACCGAAGTGCTGCCAGTGCACGATAGTACTTCACCTTGTGGGCTTCGTCAAGGTCGTCGACGTGGGCTTCGGGATTCGACAGTGCCTCGAAAACTAGGTCGGGGTTGCCTGTGTCCACGGCCTTTGTGACTGCTGCCACAGCGTTGAGAACATTGAGGCTGTTCAAGAGGTCGTCGTAGGAGATGTTGGTCTGGGACTCCAGGTGATCGATCTTCATCTCCTCGAAGTACAAACGAAGGGCGAATCTGTCGACCTGATCGCCGAGGCCCAGGTCGGGGCTCAGGAGGGTCAGGTAGCAGGCGTTCATGTCGTCCTCTTCGAGGGCTCTGTTCAGGGCTAGGAGGAGGGCCTCTCTTTTCGCCAGTTTTCGCTCCATCTCGTTCGCTTCGGATATTTTTGATTGCAACAGCTCCTGCCAGTGTCTGCTGGTCGCCTCGGTGTCTTCGCTGGGGTTTATTTGGTTGATCACGGGGAAGAGGACCTCTCGGTAACGATCGACGTTCTCGGGGAGGATCTCCTGCAGCTCGAGGGCTGGGGACTTCAGGTGTTTTATTAGGGTTTCGTCGGGGGAGTCCAGGGAATTCATGACTGATTGGAAGGCCAGGCGGGCGTTGACGTTGTTCAGGTGGCCCTGGATCTCCGCTGGGGTCAGTAGTTCGTCGTAGGCGTCGGGAATGTAACTGTCGTTGAAGGATCTGTTGAGGGCTGCTTGGGTTTTTGAGTCCTTGGCGGTCTGCAGGGCTTCGTAGTAGTCGTTCATGTGGGCGGGATTGACGTTGCGGAGACGGGCTGAGGGATTCTGGAGACCTGTGAGCATTGACTTCTTGTTGGAGGATGTCAGCGCTTGGTTTATCGCGATCACTGCTGCGTGCAGCGCTGCGGTGTCCCCTGCCATGCTGTTCGTCAGGAGGCCCCCGATCTTCTGGAATGCTGGCATCTGAATGCCGTATTTCTTGAGCTCTGCGCTCACTGTGTCGATCTCGGCGTCTGTGAAGTTTATTTTTCCGTAGAGGTCTTGGATCTGGGGGGCCCTGCCCAGCTTGAAGAGGTGGGTGCTGAGGGCGTGGATGCAGTAGATCACGCGGGGCATGTTCTTCTTGTCGTAGATGTCCGTCGTTTCCGGCTGGAAGGTCTGCAAAAGTGGAGATTGTTTTAGCGAAGCGGTAGAACGGGCTGAGGGGAGACTAGGGTGAACAGGACAATTGATGGGTGATCAAGGGAAATTCAAGTTTCGAGGTAGGATAAAAAAAAATTCAAATAGAATTCGAATTTAGAGAGAAGAAATTCCCGCAGCACCCAGATGGGAATCGAATTGAATTATTTTATTGAAATTCAACTCCTACACAGATAATTTTATTACTTTTTAAATAAAAATTGGCATCATTCATGTAAAATAGCCCGAAAAATATTTCTGAGAGAAAAGAGAATATACTTTAAATATTTTAAGAACAATTTTTTTGCCCATGAATGAATGAATGGCGCGAATATATTAAAATAATGTATGCGTCGAAATTCAATAGAAAACCTTAGCGAAATCGCTAGATAATTCTATTGGAATTCTCTAAAAATTCTGTAGAGATTCTATTAAAATTCTCGGGAATCCTCGTTAAAATTCTATTTCTTTTTGTGCAGATTCTATTAAATATTTGATAAGAAAAATCCAATAGATTTCGATTTTTGTTTCAATTTTTCTCACAAAGTTTTTTCTATCAAAATTATTAGGCACGGATGCTCCAAGTTTTGCCTGTCGAATTTTCTAGCGAATTCGCCCAGTTTTTCTATTCAATTTTTTCATACGTGATAAAATTTGTCTGTAATTCTAAGCAGACTCACCAGAGGTAACTGCATTGACTTCAAGCACATCAAGAAATGATTGATATTATCAGTATGCCGGAATTGCAGTCCTGCGATGGAGTATCTCCTCTGCTCAATGTCATAAATTTTGCTCAACGGCAGCTTCCCTGGTTCCATAAAGTGCGCTAGTTTGGCCAAGTAGACTCCATTCCTCAGGTTCTCCTCCAGTTCAGTAGTCGGGGGTAACTCCTCCTTCAAACATGCCTCCATCCACTTTTTAGCCTCTTCGAGGTGGCACAAGTACTCATAGGCCATCGTTTTCTGCCTCTGCTCGTCCATTTCCTCCGCTGATTTTCGAACATCAGCATCTGGAGCACAGCAATGTCCAGCTCAAAACACAGAAAAATTTCCAATCATTTTGTAAATAAATTATCAAAGCACCTGAACGATTTTCATTGAAATAAATTCGTAAAAACGACGGAAAGCGGAGAGTTTCCCCGTAATAATTCATAAATGAGAGGCTGAGTGATGGTTCAATAGGACGAGAGGGGTTGCCCATTGTGTTTTGACAACAGGTGGTGATAACCGGTATTTCAATGACTCTCAGACCCACCAATTGCTCCAAATGTCAAGACAATCAACCAAATTCACTCACCATTTTTGGAAATTGTTGACTCTCCCGCAATACCCGTCATTGCTGCTGACTATTCACATAAATTCACAAAATATTTCATCAAAAAACGGAGGAAAATACGTTAATACAATAACAAAGGGTACGTTAACGTCGTTAACATCCTGAGAATTTCAAAAATAGTCAACTGCCACTGAAAAACGATCTAGGGGGCACTAGTTCCTCGGAGATAATTTTTTTTTCACATGCAAAACCACCCAACAAAAATCCCCGCGAGAAAAATGTAAAAAATGAGCAAACGATGGCTCAATTCACGAAATTAGAGGGATTGAGAGAAAAATCAGTGGATTGTCAGCGGAAAATCGATTGAAAATCCTTTATTCACTCGATAATTATGGAATTGTGACTCGAAATCGTGGTGAGATGAGTTGAGAACACTTTCCCGCCGGAATAAACCCGCAGCGCCTTTTTGTACTAAAGTAAAAGGTCCGGATGAAGAGTCCCTTCTCTACAAAATTTCAACGTTCGTGCCCATCCATAAGGCCGCCAGTTTCCCCGCAAACACATGTAGCTGAAAAATTATGGCGGTATTCAATATATTTCCAAAAAACGGTGTGTTTACGTTATGTATTTTAATTTATTCAACATTTTCCACTGCGGACGCCTCACGATTAAATGTTCCCCGGGTGTTGCTGCCAGTTTTCAACAACTTCCCAGTCAACTTTACCCTCGAAGTCACCGAGGGAGGTTGCTACCAATGGTAATCATCCAGAATTATTCATTTTAGTTGCATTCACATTGTAATGAGCTCTGAAGGGCAACTTTGGGTCATTAAAATTTAGTGCGGACGCTTATCCAAAGCTGCAAGCAGTCAAAAAATTGGAAATTTTTTTTTTCGACTGATGGACAGAGGTTTTCCTCATGTTGATGAAGATCTCAATCCACCAACTCGAGTTGATGATTCAGAAATATAATAGACGATATGGAACGAATGTGGGGGTTAGCATGAGGTGTGGGATCAGAGTTTTCAACATCTGCATTATTTGCCTGGAAACAACAGGTTTTTCCTTGGCCAATGGGCTCAGTATTTTTTTCTCACTTTGCCATCTACTTATATTTATATTTCTGGACTCTTAGAGTAGGTGAATTATTAATTTGGAAAGAAATCCTATTAGAGCTTGTGCATAAGAGAAAATTCGGTTATTCCATCTCGTCAGAGCAACTGCAATTAATTTTCTCTAATTATTAGAAATGTCGGCATTATTTGCCTGGAAACAACAGGTTTTTCCTTGGCCAATGGGCTCAGTATTTTTTTCTCACTTTGCCATCTACTTATATTTATATTTCTGGACTCTTAGAGTAGGTGAATTATTAATTTGGAAAGAAATCCTATTAGAGCTTGTGCATAAGAGAAAATTCGGTTATTCCATCTCGTCAGAGCAACTGCAATTAATTTTCTCTAATTATTAGAAATGTCGGCATTATTTGCCTGGAAACAACAGGTTTTTCCTTGGCCAATGGGCTCAGTATTTTTTTCTCACTTTGCCATCTACTTATATTTATATTTCTGGACTCTTAGAGTAGGTGAATTATTAATTTGGAAAGAAATCCTATTAGAGCTTGTGCATAAGAGAAAATTCGATTATTCCATCTCGTCAGAGCAACTGCAATTAATTTTCTCTAATTATTAGAAATGTCGGCATTATTTGCCTGGAAACAACAGGTTTTTCCTTGGCCAATGGGCTCAGTATTTTTTTCTCACTTTGTCATCTACTTATATTTATATTTCTGGACTCTTAGAGTAGGTGAATTATTAATTTGGAAAGAAATCCTATTAGAGCTTGTGCATAAGAGAAAATTCGATTATTCCATCTCGTCAGAGCAACTGCAATTAATTTTCTTTAATTATTAGAAATGTTGGTTTTATATGTTCTTTCAGCTGTCTAAAAATTCCAATGCATCGACTCTAGTTGATGATTCAGAAATAAAATAGACAATATGCATTGAATGTAGACATTAGTATGATATTGGAAACGGCTGAAAGGTTGAAACAACAATTTCCTTTATGTCTTTTTTATCTCATGAAATAGGTCGACATCACGTCTGGACGTCGTTCACCTCATTCCCATGAATGAAAACCCAGACAGAACGTGTTCCTCGGCTGTTCTCGTTCAAAGCATCACCAGAGAGCTCACCAGGAACACAGCAATTGTCCTGGCAGAGGACGTGAACACAGGCCAATTTCTCAGATGCGATGTCATCGTGGATGCGATCTATTCGTTGAATCTGGTGACGACCACGAGGGAATTGTTCATCGAGGAGGCACCAGAGGCCTTCGAGGTTCGAGCTTATGACGAACAGGGAAATGAGTTCACAACCCTTGCTGGGGTGGAATTCGAGTGGAGCATTGGGAATGGAGAGAGGTACAGCGTCCAGGGGGACATTGGCAACAGCATACTGAGGTTTATGACCTTTCAGGAGTCGCCTTATGAGACTCCCTCGACCATCGCCATGCTGGATGGCACCGGGAGACAGGGGAGCATTATTTTGTTGGAGGGAGTCAAGACTGGAACCGCCAGGGTCGAGGCTAAACTCCCTTATGCTGAGTATAAACATGTTTCCCCGGTGGAGGTTGAACTCATTGTTGTTGCTAATTTGATTATTCTGCCGACTGATGTCACTATGATGGCGTTTGATAATCTCAAGTACAAGATTATGCAGGTAATTATGAGGGGGAGAAGTGATGGGTGAAACAACACTGAGAACAACAATTAGGGTTATCCCTATTTTTATTGATGGATAATAAATATCTTCTTTGTAACTTTAAGAATGTTAAGTCTTGGCTCAAGTATGTATAGATGATAGGAGACTGTGAACTTATTTGTTGATCAGGAGAAAAATTCTTCATCAATTCTTATTCCTGTAGACAAGTTGATCTATTTGAGTCAGACGGGAATTGACTGGCAATTATGGATGCATCCTAGAAGCGAATCGTTCAGAGAAATGGCAGGATAACTCTTCAGTTTATTTAAACATAACTCTAAACTTAACTCTAAGTTTAATTATACTCAACGAAATTTAAAAATAGTAAAATAATTCATAATCTCAATTTCCGATTGATGAATATTTAAATATTTGATCATATGGAATTGTAAATTTTCTATCAAGTAAATAATACTAAATTCCGTAAAAGGGACTTTCGATTAACCAAATAATCCTCAATCTTTCTAACTAAATTATCGATTGAGAAAGGAATTCGGCATTTTAGTATTTCAATTGATGATTACTTTGATAATTAAAAATTTTAGAGTGGTATTAACAAATTGATTATTTCAAATTTTAACGATTATTTGTCATCTTTTCATTTGGCAGAAAAAAATTAATAATCATTCTGTAGTTGAAACACAAATCTACCAAAAATTCATGATGAATGAATTGTTCTCCTCCTGGAAATATTTTCCCAAAAGAGAATGTTCACGTGAACTTCACTTACGATTTTTACTCCTCCACTGTTCATTAGTTTCCATTTCTCCGACAATCTCATAAAAATTTTCATTAAATTTCCTTTTAGGTGCATCAAGGACGCTTAGAAGAGATAAAACTACCATCGAACCAATACTATCTCGTCGCTGAAACCCCAGAGATTGTGCAAATTGATAACGAGCATGGGTATGCCTATGCCCTCCAGGAAGGAAGATCCAAGGTCCTGCTGCACGACAAAAACGTCAACGAAGAATACGGAATTGTTTTGCCCACTGCTACAGTCCACGTGAATGCTGTTGAGTACATCACGATAACAGTATTGCCCAACAGAAACAGGGGACTGATCCTGGGACACACTCACGAAATTATAGTTGAACTGTTCGACGCCAAGGATCACAAATTTCACATTGGAGAGGGTGTGGAGGTCTCCGTTGATATTGATCAGAAGTTCTTCAAGACTGTTAGTGTCACTCGGAATGGTACTCACATCATTGGAGTCCCTATTGCCTGTGGAACGACAACTGTCGAGGGTGAATTGCACGGAGTCATTAATAAACGTGGGAAGAGGATTGCATTGCCAACACCCCTGACTGCTAAGGCTGAATTAGTGATTCATACACCAGTGGTGGTTAGCCCTCAGATTTTGGCTGTCCCTTGGGAGCCACAGAGCAAAGCTAGGTGAGTGAAAGCCAAGTTTTTGTGCAGTTTTTCAGGGTGGGAATTGTTTTGCTTTTTTTGCAGAAAGAAAAGGTGAGTTTGAGAATTTAAAAAATATATCTTTGTAGTGTTCATTCATTTCATTCATTTCATCTGAATACGAAACATTTCCAGTTAATCCCAGGGAAAAAAATGTTTCTAGTTTCCCGTAAAATTATCCGAAATGCAGAAATTCTACAGAAACACCTAGAAAATTTACTGGATTTCTATTGGATTCTATCGGATTTCTATTGAACTTCTATTATCTTTTTACCGATTCTTGAAATGTTCAATAGAAAATATTTTATAGAGAAACTTAATGGAATTTTGTTGTTCTATGCAATTTATTTCATTGAGTTACAAGAGGCCAAAAGACTTGAAAAATGTATGTCGAGGGATTTTTTAAAATTTTCAAAAAATTTTAGTTCTGAAATTAATTAATCGATCTCACGATCGAACTCGGTCAAGATGAGTTTGGGAAGAATATTTCAAATCACAATTAGATTCATTTAAGGTACATCCCACGACAATACCACCCAAAAGTTAGTCCCTATAGATTTTCGAAAGAATTCTAAATGACTTAATTTGTTCCATTCTCACAAGTTATTGAGTTATTCCGTTTTTCTATCCTCATATGTTGTTGATGAAGGCAACCATAACTGTTTGAATCAACTAAGAAATGATTTCACATCCTTTTAGATCATCATAACAAAAAATTCACCGTATTCGAAATTTATCAGTCAAAAAAATTACTGACAATTGGGTAAATTGTCTATTAATTATAGGAATACCCATAGAAAAATCCTACCTATTGACTTTTTCCTACAAAATTTCAATAAATAGAATTTCAACGAGAATTCCCTAGAATTTGAATAGAATCCCAACAGAATGTTCTACCGAATTCGCCAAGTTTGTCTATTAAATTTATTTCTCCATGATCATTTCTCCAAATCACCTCCCCATTCCAGATTCGACATAGCCCTAAAAGCGACTGGTGGTGACGGTACATACGTCTGGTCGACCCGAGCCCCATCAGTGGCCTCAGTAACCCAGAACGGTGTCGTGAGGATCCTCTCCCAGGGTTCCACCGAGGTGATCGTCTCGATGGCGCGCAACAGCTACAACAAGGACCGAGCCCGAGTCTACGTGATGTCCCCCTCTCGCCTCGAGATCATCGAGTACAGCATGGACGCAGCTACCGGCGAGCCAATCCACCTCTTCATAGCCCTCTACGGGAAGATCCAGGAGGACGGCAAAGAAATTCCCTTCACCGACTGCCGCGACACTTCCTTCGAGGTCCACATCGCCGACTCCAGCTTCACCCGCAACTCCAGCGACTTCACCCAACCGATTGGCATCGCCTGCACGACGTTGACAGTACTCGCCACGTCTGTCGGATCCTCGAGCGTCACTGTCGCCTACAACTCCAACGGTCACTACCTCACGGACAACGTCACAGTCTCCGCCTACGCTCCACTGGTCCCCATCCACCCCCCGAGTGGTGAGACCCTCCTGGCAGTTGGATCCTCTCGTAAAATCGTCTTCAAAGGTGGCCCCCAGGTGCCAGCAGGCAAGCCCCAAGGCCTCGCTCGAGACACCTCAATCTCCGACGAAGAAGTCGTGAGAATTACCGAAATTCCCAACACCAGTGGCCAACCAGACGTATCAATCTTCGAGGTGGTCTGCAGATCCCTGGGGGACGTGATCTTCACGTTTAAAGTCACCAACGAGCCCCTGCTACCCAACTGCAGGACCACTGGTGCCTCCTCCACTGTCAGAATAATCTGCGGAAAACCCAGACACATCTACCTCCAGCCAGAGTTCAAGGACAGCGACAAGTGCCCCATAACCAAGCACCCCGAGAGGGTGATGGCGCACAATGATAAACCCCTTCACCTCAACGTAATCGTCAAGAGCGAGGATGGCAGACGATTCGATAACTTCACTAGTCTCAACGTCGAGTGGACACTGACTCCCTCGGGAGTTGGGACTGTCGAGATTGCGAGTGGAATTCTCGAGGAGACATTTTTAGATTTCAATGTAGTCCTTCCCAGCAATCATTACCAGACGGTAATTCCGAAGAGGCACACAGGGACGCTGACGATAACTGCCACAGTGACAGACTACCAGAAGTACATCCTGGCTAAGCTGAGAATAGCCCCAGAATGGCCACCCTTTCCAGTGACCACGGAAAAGGGAACCCTAGCCACTCCTAAGATATCAGCAGAGATCAGTGTCGTCCTGGTGAACAACACGATCATCAGCCCCAGCAGACTGAAAATCCTGAACGACCCAAACGTCAAGTACACGTTACAGGTGAGCCAGGGCTCGGGATACTACGAATTCATCCTCAGTAGTGAGGAGATTGCAGACGTGAGGTACGTGGAGCCCACGAGGACCATCAACATCATCCCGAAGAAATCAGGAAGCCTTCAGATTGCCCTGGTGGACCTCTGCCTGATCTCCCCCCCAGCAGTGGCTGAGGTTGACGTTCAGCAGCTGGCTGGGATCGAAGTGGAGAGTGTGAACAAGGTGGAGAGGGGTCGATGCATAACAGCAACTGTCAGATTATTCGACACCAACGGAAACGTCATCGAGCTGCCATCGCTGGAGTCCTTCGATATTAGTGCGGATGTCGATAATTCGTTGATTGAGATCAAGAAATTGGCGCAGAGTGATCAGGGCGAGCCCCCCTACACGAGAATCCTCTACATGATTCACGGAGTGGAGGAGGGATTCTCCAACATCGTCTTCTCGAGTGGCCACAGTGATCAGGAGATCAGGAGTGAGTCGTCGTCGATCCAGGTATTTCTCCCTCTGAGGATCACCCAGAGGAACATCACAGTTCTCATTGGCACGATCTACCAAGTGATGACGACTGGTGGGCCCTCGAATGCAAGAATAGAGTTCATTGTTGATCACGAGGACATCCTGACCATTCACGACGATGGGATCTTCGAGGGAAAGGAGATCGGGAGCACCAGAGTATCAGCGAGAGCTGTTGGCTTCGACTCCGGGGGTAATCGAGTGGTTTACTCAGAGGACCACGTGGACATTCGTGTGGTGCAACTGGAAGGAGTGAAAATAGTCGTTCCCACGTCTAAGATCAAGGTGGGTGCGACGATTCCCCTCTGGGCGTTTGGAGTTCCTGACAATCTGACGCCTCTCATCATCGGATCCATGAAGTCTCAGCTGATATTCACTTGGTCCACCGGTGACCCCAGTTTACTAAACCTCCACAACATGTACGAGGGGACTGGCATCAACATCAGGTACCAGAACGAAGTGACACTTCGTGCCAAAGCCCTCAAGCCAGGGGTTTCCACTGTTTACCTGAATGTCACAGTTCCCCCGAAGACTCTGGCTGGTTACAAGGACGTCCTGACGTTCGGAACGTTCATCAAGATCGAGATAATTGAGGAGCTGTCGTTGATAAACCCAGAATTCACCACTGGGGCTCCAGTCATCCTGATGACGCCTCATTCATCCCTGAAGTTGAGGACTAACAGAGATCAGAATGGCGTCACCACCTACAAAATTCTGGTGTCTGGACAGTCTGGTGAGCCTGAGGACTCAAACGCCTTGATAACATCGAAGACAGTCACTGTGGATAAGACTGGGGTGATCAAGTCAGGGGAGTCATTGGGGAGGACTGTGATATCAATTACGAGTGTTGAAGCTTATAATTTGAAGCAGTCACTGACGATCATGGTGGACGTTAAGCCAATCCACTACATGATGTTCTCGCTGTCGTCGAAGGTGCAGATCAGATCGGGCGAAGAGCTGAATATTCTCCCTAAAGGAATGGAGCTGAATTACGTGGTGGAGTACTTCGATGCAATTGGGAATAAGTTTCACGCTGCTGAGACGAGACTGAGGACGATGTCGAACCGAGGGGATCTGCTGTCGTTCACGCCAACAGGGAAAAACGAGGTGTCAGTCAAGTTCCATGAGACTGGGGAGCTCGTTGCCAAGATTTATAATGAGAAATACCCGAATGCCATGTTTGATTACGTCCACATGATGATAGGGGACATAATCTTTCCGAGTAAAACAGTTCTGACTGTTGGGGACGTCGTCTGCTTCTCGATGCCTCTGTTGTCCCCAGAAACAGGTGATCCTGGCTTCTGGAGGTCCTCGAATCCAGATGTACTGACAGTGGACTCAATAACTGGAATTGGAAGGGCGAAAAATCCTGGACAGACGATTGTTAAACACAGTTTGACGACGGATAAGCAAGGGGAGATTGAAGTCAACGTTCAGCCCATCTCCAAGATCTCTCTGGTGTTCCTGAGGGGGAAGAACGTGACGGGGAGTGAAGTGTTCAGTGTTCCTCTGGTTCTCAAGAGCAAGGACGAGGGGATCAAGGAGAATAATGTGCTGGCGAGGGGCCTGGGGGGCTGCAGGACTCGGTCTGATTTCGTTCTTGAGCAGTTTCCATTCACCTGCAGCATTCAGTTCACCTCAAAGTCGCCGGTCAATGTCAAGGACGTGTTCATTGCTAGGCCCAGGTTTGACATTGTCTCGGGGTTTTATTATTGCGATGTTGTGCCCATCAGTGGACCCACGTTGATGTCCAGTACTTTGGAGACGAAGATTCAGGTGAATGCCCAGACTAGGGAGGTCGAGGGAAAATCACTGGAGATTCCTTATCTTCCAGCTGTTTTCGTTGACTCCAGTGATGTCGTGTTTGTTCAGGGGGGAGGACAGACTGCCACTTCAGTGGTGGAGGTTCATGGGCTTCCTGGGGCTCTGGAGTACGTCAATATAGAGATGCCTGAGGGGGTCGTTGTTAATTCGAGGGAAATTGCCGGGAATAAACTCATATTCAGGTTGAGGCTCATGCAGAATGTTGAGGATGTTCAGGGACAGAGGTTGAGGATTTTTAATGAAATTACGAGGCAGAATATCTCGGTGGTTGTTAGAACGTCTAGGTATGAGGATTATGTGGCCATTTCGGGGATTCATTGGCTGGATTATTTGTATTATCACAGGTACACTTTTATCACTTTTCTTGTTCTTATTTTGACGATTGTTTATGTGTGGAAGAGGAGGGTTTCTAGCGTTGATGTTTCGGTTTTGAATACCAGTGTCTTTGCGGATAAGTATCCACCGCCGTTGAGGCAATCGCCGAATCACACGTTGAATAGCTCGTTCAATGAGTCGGTGGGGGCTAGCCCCAAGAGGAGCCCTGAGTCACCTTTGAGGCCTTTCTCGGCTTTTGTGCCGGTTTATGGAGATCCCAGGGGGTTTTATACGCCTAATGGGAGACGGAGAGTCTCTCTTAATCCGACGATTTGAGGGGGAGAGGGAGATGAAATACTTGTGATAATCAGGTGACTCGGGGGGAGAGTGGGGGGTAATCTTTTTTTTTCGTAGATTCGTTAAATTTGTTGGGGTGAACTCATTCGTTTTGAGGGGAAGGTTTTTATGTTGTCTATGAGTGGCGACAATTTGTGGAGACTTTTTTCGTTGGAAAGGGGAGATTAGGCGGGGGATGAATGATTTTAGTGGCAGACAAAGGGGCATTTTAATTTTTGTTTATTGAAGATTTTGTCAGATTGTAAAGGAGAATTCGACATTTTGCTCTAAAATCATTGGTCTCGGGATAAATGCAGACGTGATGACGAAACATTTAATATTTTACTGAAAATATTAAATTCAGCCTCATTCATTTCTCTCATTTCGCTACTGATTCGTAAAAAAATAATTGATGGGGAAGTGGTAAAATTGGATGAGTCAATATTTTTGTGAAACGACGATCAGTTTTTGTGAAATGTCTCGGATTACGGAAGGAATAGTAAAACTTGTCTAGATCAGGATAAGATCCACAAAAAAGGTCTTCACAGAAATTCCACTATCTTCTTTCAATTTAGAAATATTTATGGGAAACGCAGTCTGAAGTTGGTTAATTTATCCTGTTTCACTTCTCAATATATTTACGAAATGTAATCGAAAAATTTAAGAACTGCCTCATCACTCCCGATATTAGGGAGGGAATAAAAAGAAAAAAATGCTCACTGGTAGAACGTAAATTTAATATTTCATAAATTTAAATAAAAAAGGTGAAATATTAAATTTATGAAATATTAAATACTAAATTTAATACTTCATTGGAATTTTTTTCTCATTTCGCTATTGACTCACAAAAAAAATTAGATACCATCAAAATTAATCAGAAATAAAGTAGTAAAACAGGATAACTCTATATTCCACTTGACGATTAATCTTTGTGAAATATATCAGGATATGAAAGGAATGGTGAAATTTGGTTAGAGCAGAATAGGATCTACAAAAAAGCTCTCCCCAGGAATTTCACTGTATCCCTTCAATTCAGAAATATTCGCCGGAAGTGCAGTCTGAGGTTGAGTCACTCACCCCATTTTCTCCTCAAAATGTATTTTAGAAATCCACTTGAATTTGAGAGCTTCCTCTCACAATATTACGGATGACATTACAAGAATCTGGAAACTGATGTACCTTCACTACCCTTCGCAGAGTCTCATTGACAAGCGTCATATGTACAGGTTTTCCTTTGCGTTTAAAAAACCGAAATATCACAAACATTTCTGTAGGGTAGCTTTGTACTATTTTGTGCGTTTTTTTTATTTCTATATATAATACTTCGCCTATCGCCATTGAGTAATTTAAGATATATTTTTCTACGTAATTAATGGCCAGCCATAATCCTCACTGACTCACGGACAGTCCAATTAGTTACTTGAATTCTCAATAGAAAAATGAATACGCCCATTTTTCAAAATAGACTAGCTATGAAGAATGTTTCATTTGACGTATATTACGTTTTTTTTATCGTTTTAAATGATATATGATATTGATAATTTTTGTAATACGTGAGGCGAAATATTCTTGTAGAACAAAACATCGCAGACAGATTTGTATTTTATAGAAAAATGATGTTTAGGTCAGGGATATGATACCATGATACACCGCGTGTTCATATAGTACTTAATGACTATCTTTAAGGTTTGAGGGTATAAGAAAATTATCGAGAGTGAGAAAGAAAGTATGTGTGAACACGTGAGATATAACTTGTGACTGAATTTAATACAACTCTGAATGAGTGATTGACGGGTTCATCTTTGTGAATATACCTTGTTGTACATTCTTAATAAAAAATGTGAAAATTAAAAAGTGATTGATCTTTTAGTTGAAGAATTACGTCTGCCATTCAAAGTTAAAGTGAGGGAGTCCGGCTTGGGGAAAATTTGATTCCTTTGAACGGTATTTTATTCTATTCCTTGCTCCCTTTCTATGACAAAACAAAATTGATTTGTATGATAATAAATTCAATAGTAACTGTTCACTCTTTATTTATAAATAAATTTTATTAAAAAAGACCAGGCAGTACAGTCACACGCTATCACAATCATCCAGTATGTATATGAAAAAAAGTCAACAGGATCTTTGTTGTTGTAATTATTGTTGTTTACGTTATTTCTGTACAATGGAAGTGTCCTCAGTGTTTTTTCGATGCCTTTGCCAATTTTTCGTATTTACTCTTGCTCGAGTACCACAGGGCGAAGGGAATGGCTAGTGAGGGGAGGGTCATGACTGCGAAGGCTGCCCAATCGACCTGAAAACAATTTTTACACATGTCAATATCGGCACGAATTGTCTCTAAAAACATTTTAACATTTTTTTTCTGGACCAATTAGTTTTAAATTTTGTTGCAGAACCATTTCCCAGGATTTTTTCATCATTTTATGAAGTACTTTGGCTATTTCTTTTCCAGTGAATTGATTTTCCATGTGGTCCCACGTTAAATTCATTGACAGTGACGAAAAACAAATATAAAATGGGTCTTTTGCCTTGAATTGAAAATAGTAGACGTTGGAACGGTAAATAAGTAACGGATGTATCGTTCACTAGTCGGGAACGATATTTTTCCGTAGTGATTTTCACTTTTACGAGTTTGGGGAAGGGCCAATGCCCATTCCCGGACGAGGAAAAGTGGAGGTCGGTACGGGAAAATAATTTGCCTGCTGTATTTGAGAATATTAAATGGAGAGGAAATGTGGCTTACAACGTGGGATGAGAATTTCTTGGCATAATCTCTGTAGGACACGATGAGACCCTCTCCCGGTGCACTGCTGACAGCGACCTGGAGCCTCGGTGCATCCTCAGTGCGACGATAGAGCACCTCAGCCGAAGTGAAGTTGAAGTAACCGAATTTCCTTGGACGAACGACCACTGTGTGGCTGACGTTGCTGTTTGGTGGAACACGGTCGATTCTAGCATTCAACTCACCGCTCACGTGAGCAAAGCTGTCTGGGTGGAAGGAATTATCAGTTATTTCAACCTCTAGAGCTGCTGCACTGCCGACGTTGTGAACTGTATACTGAAAAGATTTGAGAAGTTTTGAGGATTAATTTCGATAATTATTGAGCGAATTATTATTCCATTAATCAATAATCATCGGGGAAATGAATGATGTTTAAGGGTAATATTCAATATTTATAATACTTCAGAGCAAGCCAGCTTATCAGAATATATTTAACAATATTTAATATTTATTAATTTGAAAGTACTGCTTTTCACAAATTTTCTTCAGGTACTCAGAAGTAGATTTTAATTTTTTTGTAACCGAAAATTCCACTTACAAAAAATCCCCGATGAAATTATTGAGCGAATTATTATTCCATTAATCAATAATCATCGGGGAAATGAATGATGTTTAAGGGTAATATTCAATATTTATAATACTTCCGAGCAAGCCGCCTATCAGAATATATTTAATAATATTTAATATTTATTAATTTGAAAGTACTGCTTTTCACAAATTTTCTTCTGGTGCTCAGAAGTAGATTTTAATTTTTTTGTAACCGAAAATTCCACTTACAAAAAATCCCCGATGGATAAATTTCTGAAAAATGGTTTCTTAAGTATGATCATACCCCACCTAAGTCGAGCCCGTGTGCCCCCGAATGTTTTAATTTGCGCATTGTTAATTATTTAATTGTGTCCCTGCTATAGAGGTCCGATAATTTGATGTTTTTGAAAACATTTAAGGTTGGACCGAGTAAAATAGCCCGGGGATAATACAGAACAACCAATTTTTGCTTATTCATTATGAAAAATCGAGAAGATGCATTTTGAAGGTTCTTTATCAACCTAAAAGATCGATATCTTTTTATTCTCAAAAATTGCCTATGGCTATCAGTGATAGTGTGGGAATTCCCGCGAAAGGCATTGGAAATGAATGGGAACAGAATTATTCATAAATAAAGTTTACACATGATAGACGACTGTTTTTAAAATATTAATAGAAATCTCGATGAACGAAAAAATTTCATAATGCATCTTCTCCTCTTTTTCATGATTAAAGATTTATAAAAATTTTGAGAAAAAAAATTGTCAATCAGATGAAAATTGAGGCACTTGGACGATTTTTAAAGGTCAAAATGGCTGTAATCTCGGTTCTGCATCCAAAAATGTATAATCTAGAACAACCAATTTTTGCTTATTCATTATGAAAAATCGAGAAAATGCATTTTGAAGGTCCTTTATCAACCTAAAAGATCGATATCTTTTTATTCTCAAAAATTGCCTATGGCTCTCAGTGATAGTGTGGGAATTCCCGCGAAAGGCATTGGAAATGAATGGGAACAGAATTATTCATAAATGAAGTTTACACATGATAGACGACTGTTTTTAAAATATTAATAGAAATCTCGATGAACGAAAAAATTTCATAATGCATCTTCTCCTCTTTTTCATGATTAAAGATTTATAAAAATTTTGAGAAAAAAAATTGTCAATCAGATGAAAATTGAGGCACTTGGACGATTTTTAAAGGTCAAAATGGCTGTAATCTCGGTTGCTTCATCCAAAAATGTATAATCTAGTTGAATGAATGAGTTTGCCATTACCTTAACAATGATATCCATATTTTCTACGAGGTATTTATTGAGAATTTGTTTAGCAACCAACAATCTGGCTGCTTCAGGCTCCTCATCAGCACAGACTGTCACCAAGAGGGTGACAACCACCAGAGAAAAAATGTGGAATTTCATCCTGCAAACAGATTAATAAACCATCAGTAACGAAGCGTCACAGGACCGATCGTACGTCATACTGAATTTAGTAGCGAAATGGTAAAACGATTCAAGTCAATTTTGAGTAGCGGTCAGTTTTCAGAGAATATCTCGGCATCTAATGGAGATAGCAAAATTTTTGTTATAAACTTTTTTGTAGAGCCAATTGAGAGCTACAACAAATATAATCACGAAAACTTCGCTATCTCCCTTAGATTCGGAAATATTCCCCAAAAACTCAACTGGGAGATAAGTCGACTTGAACCGTTTTACATTTCGTTAAATTTTGGAATATTTTGACGAGTTTAACCCTTTCAGGATACATTTCTCTCTTGATTGACATTTCTACATAAATGCATCCCGAGGTAAATTAGGTCCAACACTAATTTTCTTCTGAATTTTTTCAGTATTATTGTTCCAACAATTTTATCAGCTAATAATAGCTATCTGAAAAATTGAAATGTTGACACTATATAATCATGTAGCGTTTTTATAAAATTGTCAACATACTTTACAGAGCTCATTTTCACTCCCAAATATTTTCATCTCAAAATTTCGAAAATTTTTGTAAAATATCACTCGTTTACTGTCATACGTTGGGTCATTTCACCGAATGTTATGGAAGATCCTCGACTGATATTTTGGAGCCAAGATCGGGGTAAATATACCGGAATTATTGTATTCCTAACTTACGTTGGATGGACCAAGTACAGTGGGTTCTTCTGACAGCAAATGCGGTGTGATATTCAGTTATTGTTCGTAAATACTCACTTGAAAAAGGAGAGATAATTCCAACGGCAAACACGAATGGAGCACTGACGGAACTATCGGTCAACGTGAAAATGTTGGTTAAAAAGGTGCCAACCAGCGCTTCGACTCTGCCACGTTTCGGCGCTGAAACAAATCATCTGGACCACGCGTAACTTCCGGTTCGCAGGCTCATAGGATCCGGTTCGATGTACCAACGCGGGAAAATCAAATCCTTGTTTTCCGTCTAGATCCCTTTTTTCAACTTTTAAAGATTTTTTCATCATGCTGTGCGAAAAAGTAACTTTTTAGACACGCTTCGCGTGCCTAAAACGTCCCTTTTCCACACATTGTGATGAAATAGTATATTTCGTAACGAGTGCAAAAAACATTTTTTTCCGAGTTACAAACAATATTTTTCCGTCACAATATGGCGGAAACTTGACTTTTAGGCACGCGGAGCGTGCCTAAATTAGTTATTTTCGTCACATTGTGATGAAAAATATCGTTCGATACCCGTGGGAAAAGTGTTTTTTGGCTCGTGGGATTATATCACTCGCCTTCGGCTCGTACCATAAATCTCCCACGAGCCAAAAAACTCTTTTCCGCATCAGTAATGAAATATATTTTTCGTGAGAAGGCGCGGTAAACCGCGATTTACGGGCCTTCTGACGAAAAATTGCATTCATCCCAGGGTCCAAAAATATTTTCTGACGAATGTGATTATAGCCTCGCCTTCGGCTCGACCTACAAAGCCACATTCGTCAGAAAATACTTTGTGGACCTAGTGATGAAAATAACTAATTTTATCACGCTCTGCTAAAAAGTAACTTTTTAGGCACGCCTCGCGCCTAAAAAAAAGACCGGTGTAAAATTATAGACGACCGGACTTGTCGACTTATCATTTATAACGTACATACTGAAGGAAGTAATTACTTCTGATTGCGGTTAAATTATTTTTCTTTATTCTCAATCAATCAACATTATTATTCGATTAAAAAAATAGTACATTTCGTAACGAGTGCAAAAAAGTGTTTTTTGGCGAGCGGAAGGTTTATATCACGAGCCGAAGGCGAGTGATATAATCCCACGAGTTAAAAAACATTTTTTCACGAGTTACGAACAATATTTTTCATCACAATGTGGCGGAAATTAGACTTTTAGGCACGCGGAGCGTGCCGAAAAGTTCACTTTTCGTCACAGCGTGATGAAAATTAAAAATTTTGTTACCTTGGTCAAATCGATGTTTGAAAAAAAATCGATAATCGATTAATCGGCCATTGAAAACATCGAGTGAAAAATATCGATGTTTGGGGATGAAGAATTGTTCGAATCAACATTATTATTCGATTAAAAAAAATTAAAAATTTTGTTAGTTTGGTCAAAAACATCAATGTTTGAAAAAAATCGAAAATCGATTAATCGGCCATTGAAAACATCAAATGATAAATATCGATGTTTGGGGATGAAGAATTGCTGGTTTCGATTAATCGACAACATCCCCATGACTATATATAAGTAGATGTCAACAGATCAGCTGATAATGGATGCGCAAGTGTCAGTAATAATGCTCATCGAATTTGTGGCGATAATATTTGACCAGTTTGTTTTGAATTGACATCGCAGTGTTTAGAAAATAGAATTTTTTATCGATAATTAATAAAATGTCAGGAATGTCAGCTAAAGTTTATCAGACTGATCATGAGTTGGAAACACGCGTGAAAAAAGGTTAGTTTTCCACTTCTCTCAAGATAAATTACTCCCTGTATTTTGATATTAACGTAACGTAACATTTCATACATAATAAAGTAACGTTGTGAAATGGCAATAGCGTACATATTTTACAAAACCCTGAAGACAAAACAAATTGATTAACAACTTGCTTGCTTCGGGTCGGGAAGTCAAGTTGACAAATCGACAATGCGTAGAAGAAATTATTATTCCAACGAAATTGAGAAAGCGAATCAGCCAAAACCTAACAGAAAGTCTAATAGAAATTCAATAGAATTTTCTAACGAATTCGATAGGTTTTTCTATTAAATTTTTTCGGGCGTGGCTAGTTATCGACTTTAAGTGTATGTTCTTCTTAGAATAGGACACCACCGAATTCACAATTCCCCTTTCGCAAACAAATGGCCAAATGACTGATTTAATTTCCAGCGACCGAAAGAGTATCCGAGAACATGCACATAGTAGCCAACGAGCCATCGCTAGCATTCTACCGACTGCAGGAACACGTCAGAAAAGCCTTACCCCCCATGGTAGAAAAACGTGTCGAGGTGCTTGCACTTCAACGACAATTACAGGGACGCTGTTACGACGTTGAATACGCAGTCAGTGCTGTGAAAACAATGCAAGATGCTGAGAAAAGTTTTGGCAATACGATTGAATTCATCAAAAATGCAATACACTTCAAGCAGCAGTTGAAATTTGAGGAGCAGAGGAGAAATAAGAAGGACGGACAGAGGGATTCCATGTACAAGAGATTGTCTGCACACATTCCTACACTTGATCAACTGCCCCATTTTTCTGACGAAATATCGGATGTTGTTAGAGAGACTGCAAATCGGGTTGAATCATTGGTGAATCATGCCAGGCATTCCAATGAACTTCAGAGAGCCAATACCACGCACAATTAATATTACTTCAATTATTTCGATGCGCTTATTTGTTTGCTCGGTTGCATTGCAATGGAAAAAGTGACAAATTATGTATAATATATAATAATATAATATATAATATAATATATAATATTATATATATATCGGCTTAATATATTATATATTATTATATTGTTACGTATCCCCCTTCGAACCCTTTGGAGATGTCAAACAAGACACAACTTCTTGTATCGCTCTCTAGTCAATTGGATTAATAAACCGCCCCAATTATTTATCAATTGTGTGTATTGTGTCACCTCATTTCTCTGGATATAACAATATTATATATTATATAATTATTACAATAATATAATAATTATAATAAGAATAATAATAATGTAATATTATTAGACTATATAATATTATTATATTGTTGACAAATTGATGGATTTAAATGTTGAATATTTATTTGAAAGAGATTACTCATAGGGGAGGTTGGGGTAAAATGGACACTTTTGACTTTTTTTCAAATGTTAGTAACAGCTTGAAATGTTGATGAAATTCGATAGTTTTTTTTTTCAATGCAAAGGACATTTCTTTTCCTTTGTAATGCGCCTAAACTGAGCTCAGTTGATGAATTTGTTTCTGAGTTATGAGTAATTTTAAAAAAGTCCAAAGTGTCCATTTTACCCCATCCTCCCCTATGTTAATAAAGTCATTCCTGAATTATGTGATTTGAATTGTTTGGGGATAAAGTGATAAAATGAGATATTATTGTAGGTATTTAATCTGTGGTAGGGGGCTTCGCCCCCTGCTCGCTCCGCTCGGCGAAATTCAACACAATTTTCTAACGAATTCGATAGGTTTTCTATTAAATTTTTTCGTGCGTGTAGGGTAAACTGCTCAGTAGATGGATATTTGTTTTTTAGCAATTAAAAAAAAATTGATCGAAAAAAAATCGTCACTCAGGAGTTAAGAATCACAACAGTTAATGAAAATTCAAAGCAACAATTCACATTTTAGTATTTTTTTGCGTAATTTCAAAAAAGTCCAGTGTCCATTTTACCCCATCCTCCCCTATGTTAATAAAGTAATTCCTGAATTATGTGATTTGAATTGTTTGGGGATAAAGTGATAAAATGAGATATTATTGTAGGTATTTAATCTGTGGTAGGGGGCTTCGCCCCCTGCTCGCTCCGCTCGCCGAAATTCAACACAATTTTCTAACGAATTCGATAGGTTTTCTATTAAATTTTTTCGTGCGTGTAGGGTAAACTGCTCAGTAGATGGATATTTGTTTTTTAGCAATTAAAAAAAAATTGATCGAAAAAAAATCGTCACTCAGGAGTTAAGAATCACAACAGTTAATGAAAATTCAAAGCAACAATTCACATTTTAGTATTTTTTTGCGTAATTTCAAAAAAGTCCAGTGTCCATTTTACCCCATCCTCCCCTATGTTAATAAAGTAATTCCTGAATTATGTGATTTGAATTGTTTGGGGATAAAGTGATAAAATGAGATATTATTGTAGGTATTTAATCTGTGGTAGGGGGCTTCGCCCCCTGCTCGCTCCGCTCGCCGAAATTCAACACAATTTTCTAACGAATTCGATAGGTTTTCTATTAAATTTTTTCGTGCGTGTAGGGTAAACTGCTCAGTAGATGGATATTTGTTTTTTAGCAATTAAAAAAAAATTGATCGAAAAAAAATCGTCACTCAGGGGTTAAGAATCACAACAGTTAATGAAAATTCAAAGCAACAATTCACATTTTAGTATTTTTTGCGTAATTTCCTATCCAAAAGTAGCTCGTCCATCTATAGGGCAGTGTCCATCTACTGGGAAGCTTACCCTAGTGAGAGAAATTATTAGCAGATGTCGCTTAGTGGCCAATTCAGCTTCGGCTTACCGCCACTTCATGTCGTTCAGGTAGGACTCGTCCAATTGGGACCGCTATTTACCGATGGTGGCGTGGTGATCGCCCTCATAACATGGACGACCGGTGGTTTACTCGTTCAAACTTGTTCAAACCCTCACATTGTAGCTGACAGTAGTAGTTCCTCTTCGACTCATTCATGTCTGTATTGTTTTTAATTGTTGTACTCGAAGTTCCGATGGTGTCATATTTTAGAAAAACTTGAGGACTTGCAAAGTAATTGATTGAAGTACCAACGATAAACCATCGCCATTTTTTTTAGTGCAGGCGATACCCACCAGACATCGCANCTTGCAAAGTAATTGATTGAAGTACCAACGATAAACCATCGCCATTTTTTTTAGTGCAGGCGATACCCACCAGACATCGCAGCGATTTATAGCGTCTCCAATAGTGTTATCGGGGGGGAAGGACCGTGAAAGTGTATCTGAATTTGTGAGTGATTGACATGTGAAAATTATTCACTAAATAATGAAACACATGATGAATTCCCGCTCAATGTGCCAATGGATTACAACAATATTCTGTGGTAATGGACACCGAAGTGGACAATCGCCCTGGTGAGTCTACCTGTTCCCACTGTTATTTCTAGGTTATGCTCTATTTTTTATTTTAAGGCATGAGCTTTGTAATCGAAAGGGTGACTGAAAAAAACTGCCAAAATCGTTTTACAATTTTTCCGAAGCAACTTCCTGTTCTCGAGAGTTTGTAAAAAAATTTGTAAAAATTTTGGAGCTCATTTATTTATTTGTTTATTCACTGTTTCATTTACCATAGACTCTCGTCTATTTTTGGAGCCGAATTCTTCGAAAGATATTACTGGTGTCTGACGTAATTGAGTTAATGACAAATTAGAATTATCAAAGTAAAATTAGAAAACGATTTTGTAGAGTGACAAGCGGAACTAATCAATGTTCTACGTCTTGGAAGTATGGAATTGGGAGCCTCTGAAATGAGGAACTTTAAGGAGAAATTTCTGGAGAAATTTTGCTAGATATTTCATCAGATACCGCGTATTAAAAAAATGAATGGCAAAAGCTAGCGAATTCGTCATTGTATTTTCTATATTGAACTTTCTATTAGTTTTTGGTTGCAGTGAGAAAAAAATTACTTTTGCCAAGGAATTATTTTTTTGCGAGAAGAATTCAGTAGCGAAGTGGTAAAACGGTACAAGTGAATTTTGACTGTTGACCTTTTTCAATGAATATCTCGGAATCTAAGGGAGATAGCAAAAAATGATTGCGCTGATTCTGTTGAATATCCAATAGAATTAGCGCAAAAAACAAATAGAATTTTTCAATAGAATTCCAATAGAAATCCTATAGAAACCCCAGAAAATTCCTGTAGACTTTCAATAGAATTTTCTAGCGAATTCGTTTTCTGTTGAATTTTTTCATGCGTGTTCGTGGCTCGAAAATTATCAAGCGCACAATATCTCGCACTGAGAAAAAAATCTTACGCCATGAAATTTTATACTTGTCCGAAAGATGACGGCGATTGGTTCATATAAAGATAACGAGTTATCAATTCAATTCAAGTGATTTTTGCATTAAAATACTGTGGAATTGAGGTTAAAACACTACTAAATGAATTAATTCAATTTGACTTAGTATGAGAAAATTGCTTTTTTGTCATCAAGAAATTTCCCTCGTCTTCAGGAGAAGTACAAGATTTTTTAACGAAAGTTTTTTTTTCAGCGCAAGATATACTGTTTTTGAAAATTTTCAAATCGCGAATTTCTTGATATGAAAAAGACGTACTTCTAAAAAAACTCTCTTTTTCTCAGTGCGATTCCATTGAAATGTTCAATAGAAAATACTCTTTAGAAATAGTCAACAGAATTCGATTTTTCTATGCAACTTTTTCTATTGAGATATTTCAAGCATTTAACCAAGAGTTCGCAGCATTGAAAGTGTTTCAAGGTCGAGTTCATCAGGTTACAACGATAATAAGTTACTCAAATATCCTACTAGCGTTTGCCCATGACAGTAGTCAAATATAATAACTCATGATTTTGATAATTTTCTTTTTTGACATAAAGGGGTCAAGGGCCCCTGTTGTCACTCGAGGGTGCGAATAATTTGCAAACGGACGCGAGGAATTGGTCAATCTCTCATTATCCCCTCATTGCGACGCGCGTGTTCTTTTAGCTCTCGAAGAAACATCTGGAATAGAGATGTGACAATCACCGTCATTTTTTTATGCCATATGACAAATTTACGAGAGACGTGTGACGTCACATTTTTTTGTCATAATTTGAGTAGTAGGGTGAACAGTTCAATTGCCGGACGGTTGAGGGAAATTCGAGTTTCGTGGAAGGACCTAAAATAAAAGAATCACCTAAAGGGGATTGACACCAATGAATCCTTTTTTATGGATGACTTTCATACCTTCGTGAAAAACGAAATCGCAAAAAAAAATTGATTTAATTTATCTTGTATAGGGTGTAGGAGGTGGAAAAATGCAATTCTGAGCCGTCCATCTGCCTATAGGGAACCCAGGGAATGGGTTTTAAGGCTCTATCT